AAAAAATTGTATTGATCCATACATTTTTTAAAAAGTTATAGCACTTTAAAGTAAAAAATGTAAATTATAAAATCGAAAATTTTCACACAAAAATAGCATTCGGTAGCCGTTTTCACCGTGAAGACAAGTCCAGAGGTCAAATTTTTTTTTTTCAAATTAAAGTATATTACGTTAGCTTTAATTTAAGATATATATAAAAGTGTCAGACCTTTCGGAACATTTTCAAAAGTTAAGTTGAAAAAGTTCTACTTTCTATATGCATTTTTTATATTTGAAGCCCCCCCATATATAGGGAAATAGTCTGATTTAAAAAAAAAGTATATCCAATGAAAGATGTATATAAATACTACTTCTCATGAAAAAATTGTATTGATCCATACATTTTTTAAAAAGTTATAGCACTTTAAAGTAAAAAATGTAAATTATAAAATCGAAAATTTTCACACAAAATAGCATTCGGTAGCTGTTTTCACCGTGAAGACAACGTCCAGAGGTCAAATTTTTTTTTTTCAAATTAAAGTACATTACATTAGCTTTAATTTAAGATATATATAAAAGTGTCAGACCTTCCGGAACATTTTCAAAAGTTAAGTTGAAAAAGTTAATTTTTTGTGAAAAAGTTGTCATTTTAAATCCCCCCCTGTGGGCAGAAAAAAGGTCAAATTTACAAAAAAAATATACCAAATTATAGGTAAAGACATCAAGCATCTATATAAAAAAACGATATTTTACATACAAATAGTACAAATACTTTAAATTTAGAAATATATTATATTGGAATTATATGCATTTATAAATTTTGGTTATTTCGAACACTTCATCAGTCAGTACAAACTTTTATTAATTAAATGGAAAATTTAGTAATTTGTTATTACCAGGTGATTTAAGAAGTTTATAAGAGATTACTCCCCCTAAAACGAAAAATATTTCTACACCTATATACAGGTGATCGGTTTATCATTAAAATAAGTACAATATTGAAAAAAAAAATTTTGATTTTTTAAGTTACACATATCTCTTGATTTATCAGCTAATAATTAATTTTTAGGATCATCTCTTATAACTTATAGAAGTAGAAGCTTAATATTTTTAAATAATAACATACATATTTAAATGGCTTAAGTGGATAGTTCAGACAATTTCTTCCTCTAACCGATATATAAAATGATTAAAAAAATGTTTTTTTTATCTAAATATGTAGTTTTTTTTAATAGACAATATTTGAATTAAAACAAATATAGATGTAGGTAGTATACAAAACATAATAATCAAGTAAATATCTATTGTTATGCCTTAATTTTTATTATTAATATTATGAATAACTTATTCTTTAATTAAGTTAATAGATTAATATACAGGGTGTTCAGTAAGTCAGGAAACGGGTTTCTATTGTTCTCATTGTTTGTAACAATAGACTTACTGACTTACTGAACACCCTGTATAGAGTGTTCAATAAGTAATGAAGCGAGTTTCTATTGTTTTCATTTTTGTAATAATTGACCTGATTCCTTACTTACTGAACACTCAGTTTACAAATGTTTAAATAATCAATTGGTAAATTCTTTCCTAAAAATTGACATTAATTATAGGGTCCAATTGGAGTACCTGGAGCTAAAGGAAATGATGGTCCACCAGGAATTCCTGGTGTTGAAGGTTTGACTGGACCTAAAGGAATTGAAGGGGTAGCAGGAAATAAGGTATAGTAATTTAAAGAAAATCATTAGAACTGATTTTATTTGTATTATAATTTTACATATTAAAAACACTATTTTAAATCAATTTTTAGGGTGAACAGGGGCTTCCAGGCCCACCTGGTCCTCCGGGACCACCGGGAGAAGCGCCAATGATTCCACCTGAGTTATCAGGATACCAGCAAAGCTCTTTAGCACGTTGGAGAAGAGAAATTATGAATAACGAAGCCAATAATATAAGTTCAGAATTTTCTAATATTAATAATATCACATTAGGAACAAATGAAAACATTTCCGACGACCCAAAATACATTGATATTGTCAGTTCAATTTACGTAATGAGGCAAGATTTAGAAAGAATTAAAAAACCTATTGGAACCCGAGAAAACCCAGTAATGACATGTAAAGATTTATTTTACGGACATCCCCAATTCAAAGATGGTAAGTTATTGTTTTACTTAACAAATAATTCGTTTTTATAGGAATAAATCAAATCAAATTTTGTCACATTTAGATTATTTATTAATTTGTTTAAAAATTTTCAATTCATTTAGCGCTATTAACTTTTTTTCTTTAGGTAGTCAAATTATTTTTTATTGCTTACTAATAATAATGAATTATCTCTCCCAGTTTTCACAATGACTCTATATGACATTTTTATAATTTGACCTAAATAGCCAGTACCAATAAGATTTGCTAGAGTAATACTAATTACTAGATAAGTCAAAACATACATAAAATCTATTTATGGGATAATTTATAATTTATTATTTCAAATTTATTCTATAATTTATTATAACATTTGATCATCGAAATATTGATAATTAATGTAATATTATCTTTGGTTGTGCTCTAAAATTGTGGTTAGTTGACCGACGTATAATAATTACCACTGTTTTGATAATTTTATTAGAATTTTTTTTATATGTTTGTATAAACAATATACGTAAATTATAAATAATAATGATTTTTATTAACAAGTAACAAAGTAATTTCGCTATTTTATTACGAAAAACTATAAAAAAATGTTTTTACGCTATTTAAAACGCTTTTTCTAAAAACAGTAATTCGCTCCCCAGAGTGTCGACAGAAAGTTGAGTGGAAAATAAGAAGGTTTCGATAGTTGAGCGGAGTGACGAGAAATGATAGGATAAGGAATGAACACATAAGAGTAAAAATAATAGGAGTAGATGGTTGATAAAGTGAGAGAAAATAGGCTAAGATAGTTTAGACACATTATGATGATAGAGAAATCGGAAGCTGAAAGAATGGTTATAAAAATGAACGTTGGAAGAAAAAACAGGAAGAGAAATACTGAAAAAGAAGTGGTTGGATGTAATTAGGAGTCAGATGAGAGCTGTTAGTGTGTGTATTGATGAAGTGGGAGATCGTGTCAGGCTGACGTGTAGGATATGAGTTATGACCCCAATTAGTAGGAATAAAGGCGAGAGAGAAGAAGTATAAACACAAAAGAAGCAGCACACTATAGTAGTGTCATTACAAGTAGTATGCTACTTGCTGCAACTTCTTAAAAAACATTCAGTACCAAGAGAAAAAAATAAATGTGAAGTCATGGTATTAATTCGTGCATTTTAACCCATGAGAAATCTTGTATTGTAGGAATGACCAGTGACGAAGCTTGATACGTGACTATAAGATAATGTTAACTTACTTAAAAAACGTCTAATAGTTTGATTTCATACGTTTAACATATTAAATAAAATATTAACAAATATAAATTTTACAGTAGATATCTATACCATATAACCATTATGTTATTATTTCTTTAAAAAAAAATTTGAGAACATCGTGAGCTAGCATTACTAGGCATTTTAATAAAATTTGTCTTAATTTTTATGACGCAGTGTGCAGGTAGTTTGAAATATGTGAAAATTATCATTTTGCGACGTAGAGATATATCTCTCAGTGTCGTACACTGTCACAAATTGTTATCGTTTTATTTTTACATAGTGTGTTTTTATAACACAAAATTCCAATACATAACGTATAAAATAACATTCGTTTTAAGTATGTTCGATAATATAATTATGCAATTATTGAACAATGGGATTACATATCTCTAGAAAGTCGTCTATAAAAATTATTGAATTATTCCAAAAGCAACATCAACTTCTATTTCCTTAATTATATACTAATTATAATTTTTATGATGTATAATAATTACATTTAGTATGAAATTGATATTCAATAGTTTAGTATTGTAATTTTTACGGAAAATTTATCATAAGTCATAGGTAGTGAAATCATTTTTTTTTTTTTGTAAAAGGCAGCTCCCTCCCTTTTATTATACATATTGAATGGACATTATATCTGCAAAAGTGTCCCTTCAAAGTATTTATAATGAACATTAAAGTCTTATTTTTTTTTTGAAAATGGGGGGCATTTATATTACTTAGCTGTTTGACCTAAAGTATAGGCTGATGCGGTATTATTTAACAATGGTTTATTATGATTACATCAAGTTCATATAATACAATAAATAAAATATAAAACAGAAAAAATGTATCTGTAACGTAACATAAACATATGAATCTTATCGCAATTCTTGTATAGACTTATAATAGAAATTTAGTATATGTGACTAAGGTACTTTGTTGGGTAATTCGTAGCGATGCTTAGTCAGTCACAATCGTAGTTGATGTTGGTGCGTCAGTTGCCGTTGTTTCTGACTATATCAGGTCGCTCAAAGTGCAGCCTTTTGTCGTTCATCGATCGGTATTATTAAAAATCGACATAGCGACGACTCTTAAATGATGGCGACGTTAGACCATATTGATTCCCCCAACGGTTGAGATAGCAAATGTTTTTATATGATGATGGTGTATTGATAGCGGCGGCTTTTGACAAATTTCTATCAGTGCCGCCTCGATACCCAATGATGCCAAAAAACAATTAGAGTAACACATTTATAAAAACACGAAAAACGGTGATTTCGTACACAAAAGTAACATTAAAAATGTCGCCACTGAAAATGACACAAGTCCAAAAGTTTTGAACGTGTTCTTTTAGGTCGAAATCAAGTCTTTTATATTAGCTTGATGTATTTTATCAAGTACTTTTTTTGATAATTTTAGTTTCAACGCTAGTTGCAGTTTATAATCGTTCTTTTACCACTTTGATATTTATATCTGATGTGTTTACATAATTCTACTCTCTGACAATATTACATTTCATAACAGATGTTATAAAGAGATAATATTAATTCTCAAGAAACTATGTTACCAATAAATATACATTTTAGGATGGTATTGGATAGACCCTAACTTGGGAATGCCATTTGATGCTGTATATGTATACTGTAATATGAGCAGCGGAGGTGAAACGTGCGTGTTTCCTGACATCCATTCTAGTCAGATGCCAAACATTCCGTGGCGAAAGGAAGCCGATAAAACAGACTGGTACTCAAACTTAAGAGGTGGTTTTAAAGTAAGTTCTTTATTTTTATTTAATTTCTGGGTTCATAAAGAGCACAGTAAATTTTATTTATTAAATTTAAGAATTCTACTTATCTAAATCTTTTATCGTTTATAGTATAAATTTCAATCATCACATTGTGGTAATTTAAAAATAAATTTTATCTAAAGTTTTCTCCAAACTCAAATATCTGGTCACATCCATGGAAATAATACATTAATAATTAAAACAAAATTCAAACATTAAAAATTTATTTTTTTTATAAAAATATCGAAGTGTAATTTACAAATCTTTCCAGGATTTCCTGTAAGAGTCGCGGTAACGCTGAAAGTTTTTAATTTGAAACGCTTGTAAAAACATCTGAACTAATTACTAATTTTTAATATAGATATTATCATTATTATGAAAAAGTTTGTAATATATTTTAAAGTATAAGATTAAAAAATAATTATATCATAAATAACACCATAAACTAATTTTAATTTAGAGTTTATCAGAACGATAATTTTATATCTTGAAAATCGATACTACTCTTAATCAAGTTTTAATATGAATTATTCAGTATATTACTGTATTATTTTAAAAAAAACAAAATAATTTGCTTTAAAGATAACCTTTATAATTATTTTTGCGTTCAGGTTCCTACGAAAGAAACTAATAATTTTAAAATTCGTACCCTTCCTACGAAAGGGCAGTTGGCCTGTGTAACTAGGTTAATAAGAGAATTATGTTGATATAAAGAGAAATATTACAATATGAATTTTTAATTATCATTCATGAGTTTAAAAATAAATAGTAATGGGCGTCATTTAATTCATTAAATCTCTTGACTCGGTCCTTTTAGATAAGTATTAAGTCGTTCTACAGTTTCTCATCTTATAGACTGTGGAATCCGACCAATCCATTTATTTCACATCCAATTCATGTGCATATATGATGCGATAAGAGCAATCGTTTGGCAATTGCATTAATTCTCTGCTAACCAATCGCCAAATGCGGTAATTAATAAATTCGTTTCGCGAAATGAAAAAATACTAAGCACAATAAACTTATTTTATAATAATGACATAAAAACCAAAAGTAAAAGTGACCCACGGGAGGCCCCATTATCAGCCACACTTGAGTGCGACCACAGATAAATATTACAACTACATAGCCATCTATAAATTAATGTTGAAGCCTAAAAAATATTTTTTTTGTCTTCCTTATCAAAGAGCCCTTTTGTTGCCTATTTTCTGGGCTTCAGAACTCGATGTTAGACATTATAGGGAGTCGTTTATCTAGTTGTAATTTATATCTATAGCGCTGACCACCATCAATACAATATCTTATATACTATATTATTATATGTCACATAATTAAACAACTAAACTAATTTTATGTAAAAAAACACTTTCATTGAAAGCCATTTTGAGTTTTTTTACAATTATTACTTAAATAAAATGTAATAATTAACATTTTTCCTCGTTAACAAAGTGATTTTAAAATTCCAAAATTTATTAAAAGTTATTGAGGAAAAAAGTATTTTTATCAAATAAAAATATTGACACGAATAATATTTGTAATTTCACTATGTTTCATAGATTACATAGATTCATAGATTCATAGCTCGGACCGGCCCTGATTTGCACTGAAAAGTACATTTGGGGCAAATGTCCCAAGCTGCTTCTCTCCCAAGTGACGCGAAAGTCAACGAGTCAAATTTTTTATATCATCTAATAAACTATGAGTAAATCGAGGAACTTAGGAGAGCTTAGCTCAATCCAAAGATTATATAAAATTTAATTAATTTTTATATAAAACAATTTTAGGATGAGGTAAAAATTAATTTAGTTCCTCAAATTACAATTTTACACCATTGGGGTATTATATTTATCAAATCACGATATGCAAATAAATAAATAAAAAGTAGAAATATTTCAAAAAGGGCTATGTTCAGAATATTTTTTTCGAGAGAGGTCCAAAATATGTATTTATATATACAGAGGGTTGGGTTAGGTTTATACAAACAGAGTGATTTTTTAATCATAAATGATGTTTTGTCAGCTATGTCACTAGCAATTATTCGTTCATTTGATGTACAACTTTAAAGTTTCAAATTTTTGAGTTAATATACATGTATGATACACGAGGACTTTCAGATAAAGATAACTAATTGGTTTTTTATGTCGTCGATACTCGCAGATTTATTATTTAGCATCTATTGTCAATGATAGTAAAGTACATTGTAATGAGTTTATAAGTATGCCAACTGTCAATACAAATAGCATATATAATGATAGCCATAATAGACAGTAAACACTCAGTGACGTTGATAGGGTCGTCATAAAAAATCAATTAGATACCTGTAACCTCTTTGTGTATTACACATGTATATTAACTCAAAAATTTGAAACTTTAAAGTTTTATATCTAATGAACGAATTGAGTTATGTTAAAAATTCAAATGCCATTTACTATAGTGTATATATATATATACATTTACTATATAAAATTATTATATAGCTAGTAATTCAAGAATAATATGTAATTAACGGTAACTAAATAAAATAAAGTTTAAATTATTTTTATTCTGTAAGTAATTAATTGGGTTATGATAAAAAAATCACTCGATATATACATATTAGTATATTTTAAAAAATTCGAGGAGGTCTATGGTGCCGGTCCATAGACCTCCCTGATATACGGTGTTGATTTTAAATATAAGCTAAAAGTGAAATTTAAATGGTATTAAAGTTATATTCAAAGCAATTGTTAATATTAATCCTGGCAAATCAATTTTATTAATTGTAGATAACATACGAAGCGGTTGGACCCGTCCAAATGAATTTTCTTCGGCTTTTAAGTCAAAGTAGCTATCAAAATTTTACTTATACGTGTATTAATAGCGCTGCTTGGTTTAACACAAAAACCAACTCATATGACATGGCAATTAAGTTCATGGGAGATAGCCAGGTGATGTTCTCCTCAGAGCTTGGATCTCCAAAAATTGACGTTAGATTTGACGGGTGCAAGGTAAGACAATTAAAATAAAATAAAGATTAGTCGTAAAAAACAACACATTATTGTGTTCATTGGAGTATTTGTTTTATAATGTCAAATCGTTTTGTGATTGAGTTTTTTTGAAGTCTCTAGGAACATGTACAAAATGTTGTCACTTAAACTCTACTAGAAACATATATTGTTTTACAGTGAATTCATGATGTATAAGTGAATTAGAAGTAGTTTTTATATAAAAACTTTCCGTTGTAATTTTTATAAAACTTCGTATTTTACTTTTAAAGCCAAAACATGTTTTAAAAAGTTTAATATGACAAAATTGTGTCATAAATAATACAATTTAAGGTTAAAATAATTTTAACATGACTTTTAAATTCAATGTTGAACAATTGCAAAAACTATTTTTCAACTATAATAGTATACATTTTCTATATTTTTTTATTATAATATAAGGACTTCGTGTTTACTTTCTTATCATTACATATATATATTTAACATAAACAATGGCCTTTAGTTGGATTGGGTAATCATTGGCGGATTTTTAACAATTTTCTTGGGGTTCTAAAGAATATAATTTACTGAACACTGATCAAGATCGTACCTTACATACAATTTATTGTAAAAATATTAATGCCTAGGATTACTGGGCGTAACTAGAGATATTTAAAACCTCTAATGGTAAAAAATATCTTTAGTAGTTTTAGAGCTACAATAAATGGAATATTATTTACTTTAATATTATAGGAAGTTCTATAGTCTTATATAAATTACTTTTTATTAAAAATATCATTATAATGATCATTCTGTTTTCAATAATATATTTAAAAAAATTGTTTTTTTAGACACGAAAATCAAAGAGCGAAACAATTTTTGAAATTCGCACCAATAAACTTAACAGTTTACCACTTACAGACTTCTATCCAATCGATTATGGTTCTCCGCATCAAGCATTTGGATTTGAAGTGGGTCCAGTATGCTTCAAATAGATAATATTTTCAATACCTTGGATTAATTATTGTATAATCATACACTTTAGGAGTATAATCATTCAATATTTATTTTAAATCATAAATAATAGAATTAAAAGTAATTAGTTTACCAAAAAAATTGCTGTATTACGAATTTTATGTTATAGCCATAACTTAAATTTATTAATTTTATCTGTAATAAATAATTATTGTTTTTACGTACACTACTTTAAGAGAAATTTTATACATTAAAAAATAAATTTGAATAAAATAGCATATTCAAGATTTTTTTATAAAAGAGAATATTATACCATAAGGTGTCCACTAACCTTGATGTTTATAAAACAAGTTATTCAAAACTCAAATATAGGTTAACAATAAGATCTATAAAGAAATTATACAAATGTTATATTGCATTATTCATTTTTGAATAAAACTCTTATTATTTGTTTTTTTATAGGACTGGATTAATTCAAAGTTTAAGGTAGCATCTAAAAATATGTATATAAAAATGAAAAAAGTAGAAAGAAATTCAAATCAATTTCATTCAAATATAAAAGTTAGTAATTTTGTTATGCACAACAAGTAACTCATTTTTTCATCTTCTTAAGCAATGATAAATTAATTCTCTTTTCTTATTGTACCATTTAATACATTTTCTAAGAAGTTTGTTTCTTATTTAAACAAATATTTTTAATAAAGTAATAAATAATTACACATTAAATCATCTGAACTTCAAAATAAAATTTTTCTAATTAATCACTTTTTTGAGCTGATCAATAATTAATATGCATAAAATATAATAAAAATAATATATATTTATTTAATATTATGTTAAATTTAAAAAATTCTTTACTAGAAGGGAGCTAAATTTATTTTACCTTTATAAAATTATAAAATATTTTTTTGTCTTCCTACTAATAGTACATAAACCTATTTTTTTTAGTTTTAGCATCAGTGTACAAAACAATACGTTGAAATAAAAAATTATTTGCTTTATTGTAAGATAACACATTAAATTTAATTGTTTATTAAAATATAGAAATACAGCTATAATGTGGCCATAGCAAATACACAGTCTTTAAATATTAATTTTTATATTTTATATAATCAGACATAAAATCAATAGATGTATAAGAATCAAAAAAATTTTTTATTAGAAAAATGTCATTTATTTTCAATAACAGTATCATAAATAACATCATTATTAGAATTGCTATCACACATGTTATCTTCAGAGTACTTCAAAGTTTCATTTTCTTCCAATGTATCTTGTTGACTAAAAATTATTGGATTATTAATAGATACATCATCTAGAATAATACTGTTGTTGCAGCTAGAAGAAAGTTCCATATCTCTATTGTCATTTTCATAAGTGCTATAAAATTTAATATCTTCAGTATTGTTTGACATTAAATTTTCAACAGTAAAATCATGATAAATAGTGTAATCATCTACTGAAATAATTTTATTAAAGCTTGGATCAATTTCTTGGACTACTTTTTTATTGTCTTCAATAATTAATGTATCTTCATTTTCAATACTTTTATTATTTTCAACATTTTGGTATAATGGACAAACGTCAATTAAAAAACTATTGTTGCAGCTTGTTGAAAGTTCCATGTCTAATTCATCATTTTTTTCTTTATTAGCTATCTCATAAATACTTGAATTAGAAAATTTATCATCATAGTGATTTTGATTACTTTTTATACAATTATTTGAACTTAAATGTTTGATCATAGGAGTGGAAAAACAGAGATCTGGATTACCAAAATTAATACTATTTGAACTATTCCATTCTTCCTCTTCTTCACAGTATTCATCTTTAGAATTAATATCATTATCAGTTGGATAATAATCAAGTGAATTTTGACTTATATCATCGTCTACCTCTGTACTATTGTAATCTGAATATGTATTTGAAATTGGTTTTACCAAAATCCATTCATTAAAGTCATTCTTTTTTATTTCATAATATTTACTTATAATTATTCTGAAAAATTTTATGTTTATTAAAAATAAGCAAATGAAGTATTATTTTAAAATGTAATTAATAAACAAGTTATTATATCATAGTTGAAAAAATTTGTTTTTCCTCAACTATTTGTAATAATATTACAATTATATTACATTCTTTACATATTAATTTTCAGAAAATCAATAAGCAAAATATATTGAAATTCCTAAAATTAATAACATAATTTTTAAATTATTATTTATATTTGTATTATGTGAATTATAATAAATTTATAATACCTTCAGCAGTTTAAATCATAAAAAAAAAAAAATTAGAAATTTAAAGAATATATTTTTATTTAGATACTTTTATTGGTATGTTTCATAATTTATAAAAGCTTATTTGAGTGCTTATAATGATAATTTTAGCCCCTGAGCCTTAATTATTACTATGTTCTAAGAAACAAAGTTTTTGGATGACCAAAATATTTTTTATGTTAAAGTAAGTAAATTTGTTTAAAAAATATATATTGAACTTAGATTGTACTCAAATGTTTTGTACTATTTGCAAAAAGTATTTATTATTAAAAGTAGTTATAAAATAACTAACTGAAGATCTTCCACTGTAGAACAGTAAGTAGAAACAAATGGCATAACATTATTCAATGGTAATTCCAAATTACCATTCACTAAAAATTCCTTGTTTAAAGTAGCATTTCCAATACATTTTCTTAATTCTTCAAAAATTATTTGTTGATATCTATTGTTATCATTTTTATTATTGAATGGATAATTAACTCGTCTTAACAACTTATAAGGTGTACTTCCCTGAAACATTAATAATAATTTAAACTAAAAACTTAAAAGTAAAAAAAAGATCAAAATTTCCATTAGAAAATTAAGCTTTAAGTTCAAAATAATATATTATTAATGTTATTTATTAAAATTAAATAAAAGAAATTAAAACTTCAAAATACAAAATTTATTAATTTATATTATTGTTTATTTTTAGCTTCGATGCGAAGCTGAGAAGGTATTGGTTTTACTAAGATGTGTTTTTTTTTTTGTGTCTGTTACCACTTTTTCTCAGCTCTCACCGAACCGATTTCTTTCAATGATACGTCAAAAGATCACAAATCGTATCTAGTCGAAGACATTACCCTTAAAAATTGAAAAAAATTCCCTCGTTCCCCGTAAAAGGGGGAAACCTCCAAAAAAATTACAAATTTAAAAATCGCTAATTTTCGAAATTTTTTCAATTTTTTTTACTTAAAAGTGCCATAACTTTTTCAAAAATAAACATATCAATATAATTCTTTTTTATATAGATGCATAATATCATTACCTTTCATTTGGTATATTTTTTTCATAAATTTAACCCTTAACCTGCCCACAAGGGGGGATTTAAAATGACAACTTTTTCACAAAAAATTAATTTTTTTAACTTAAATTTTGAAAATGTTCCGGAAGGTCTGACACTTTTATATATATCTTAAATTAAAGCTAATGTAATATGCTTTATCATGAAAAAAAAAAATTTCGGACTTTATCTTATCTTCATGGTGAAAATGGCTACCGAATGCTATTTTTGTGTGAAAATTTTCGATTTTGTATTTTCCATTTTTAACTTTATTATGCTATAACTTTTTGAAAAATGTATGAATCATTACAATTTTTTTATGAGAAGTAGTATTTATATAGATCTTTCATTCGACATACTGTTTTTTTAAATCGGACCATTTCCCTAAATACAGGGGGGATTCAAAACATAAAAATGCATATAGAAAGTAGAACTTTTTCAACGTAACTTTTGAAAGTGTTCCGGAAGGTCTGACACTTTTATATATATCTTAAATTAAAGCTAATGTAATATACTTTATAATGGTAAAAAAAAATTTCGGACTTTATTTTATCTTCATGGTGAAAACAGACATTAAACTTAATAAAAAAAATACGATTTTTGTAAAAAAATTCTTTTTTATATTTTTAACTTTATAATGCTATAACTTCTCGAAAGATGTATGGATCAATATAATTCTTTTTTTTGTAGATGCATGATGTCTTTACCTATCATTTGGTATATTTTTTTTATAAATCTGACTTTTTACCTGCCTACAGGGGGGGATTCAAAATGACAACTTTTTCACAAAAAATTGACTTTTTCAACTTAAATTTTGAAAGTGTTCCGGAAAGTCTGACACTTTTATATATATCTTAAATTAAAGCTAATGTAATATACTTTATCATGGAAAAAAAAAATTTCGGACTTTATTTTATCTTCAAGGTGAAAATGGCTACCAAATGCTATTATTGTGTGAAAATTCTCAATTTTATTTTTTACATTTTTAACATTATAATGCTATAACTTATTGAAAAGTGTATTGATCAATATAATTTTTTTATGGGAAATACTATTTTCTAATAATCTCTTTTTTATTCTACATACTTTGTCTTAATCAGGATATTAATAAGGAACTAGCAGTTTATGAAGCTTTTGGAATAATCCACCAATTTTTTAAAATTAAACACTATCTAAAGATTTGCATCGAAGCGTTTTTTTTTGATAGTGATTTTAATCACTGTCAGATATCATTATACTTGATCCAACTATGCCACGTCACCACTGTGCCGCGACCCCCCTGTGCTGGGTTTTTAATATATTAAACATTATAACTTATATAAAAAGAAAAATTATATTTATGAAAAATTACAATAAGGTTTTAAAAATAATAAAATATGAAAAATGACAGCACTAGTTTGAAGATTTTACTAAAAAGTAACTAAAATATCAAATATTTTATAAATATTCATAATGGATCACAATGTTTTGACAAATCTAACTTTTAATCCAGCAAATATTTTGTTACTCTTTTTTAAAAAAGATTTTAAAAATTCTTAGACTTTGTAAAAGTTGTATTTTTTATTATTTGTTTTTAATAAGTAAAAAGAAATAAAACTTTTTTTTTCAAAACTTTAAAATAGCTATTTTTTTTTTTGCAAAAGAATAGCTTTTTAAAAAGTTAAAAAAAATTTTAATTAAAAAATAAATTTTGTTTTTCTTTATCATTAAAAAAAATTAATAAAAAATATGATTTTAACATAGTCAAAAACTAAAAATTATTTAAAGAAAAAAAATAACGTAAAATATTTACTATATTAAAAGTTTTTAGATTTGTCAAAACATAATGGGCTAGTCAGTACATTACAAAATAATTACTATTTTAAAAAAATAAACTTACAGTTTGTAAAATGTTTATATCTTGCATATTTTTACGATAAAAAGTTACCATTTGACTGCAATGCCCGAAATTTTTTGAATTTAGAGGAGGAGGACCTATACCATCTATTTGAAAGGTATACTCGGGGTACCTTGAAACAATGTTCTGAATCCTGAAATTATTTTACAAATTTATAAAAAATACAAATTTTGTAAAACAAATGTATTTATTACCAATCACTAAATTGTTTTCTATTCCATTCAAATTTGTGATCATAATGTCTAAATTGACTAGTAGAGTTAGGAAATAAAATATTATACTCTACGTTAGGAGTTGTAAAAATTGCTAATTTAGGCTTAATAAATTCAAAAACTGTAAATGGTACTGCCTCTAAAATTTCAGCATAAAGATGCTCAATCCTAAAAAAAATGTATAAAAATGACTCATTTTACTTAACATTTTATGTAGAAATAAATTACAGTTCTATGCAAATTACAGCATCAGCTCCTAAAAGTCTATCATCTAAATCTGATATACTTCCATGATAAATATCAACTGTCAAAGGATTTTTTTTTTCATTCATACAAAAATAATCATAATTTGTAGGTATTACTTTATTTTGATTTATTTCTAATGTAAAATCATCTATATCTACAAGTATGATATGTTCAAGACCAACAATAGACTTCAGATGTTTGAACATACCCATCTCAGAACAACCAAAATCAATCACCTAAAAAAAAACTTAGATTTAATACTTTACTAGTCAAATTAAAAATTAGAATCATACTTTTTTTATAGAATTTTGCCAAAAAGAATGTTCAAGAATTTCTTGTACTGCCATGTATCTTTGAACATACATAGGTGGAATGAAACGTAATCCATATTCATCTAATGTAGAAATGCATGTATCTTGATTTATCAATTTAAATAATTTTTCTTCCTAAAAAAAAAAGAATTTACAAAATTAAAAAAATACATTAAAAATAATGTTAAGATAAAATCATCTTTTTTTTAAAATCATTTTTACAAAACACTAAAAAATTTCATTAAATTCAGATCCACCAAATTGAAAATAAAAATAAATAAAGTAAAAACCTATTTTATTACTTTCACCTTCAATATGGCAAATATCAACCTTTTCGTTGTATTAGTATACTAATAATGACTAAGTAAGTCAAATACCTTATTGCAGTGAGAGGTAAAAATTTGCTTTTATCATCCTATTTTATAACTAATTAAAAATCATTTTTTATTTAGTTTTTAAAACTTATTTAAACACGTATTTAATTCAGTTCTAAAATAAAAAAAACTGAATATGGAAATTAATAGTTATTGTTAACTTTTAACTACATATTTTAGGTCGGAATTTAACTGTACTTAAATAATGAGCTAATAAAATACAATTAGATTACAGGATGATCGGTTTATCATAAACCACTACTTGCAAAATAAATACAATATTGGAAAAAAAATTTTTTTTTTAATTACATATATTTTTTGATTGATCTTTTAATAATTATTTTTTTAAATCATGCCTTATGACTTAAAGGGGCATAAACTTTATTTTTTTAATGGCAACATACTTATTTAAGAAGCTTATAAAATAGAAAATAATCTAATTAAGAAAATGACTGGCCGATAACAACTTTTGGACCAATATTTCAGATATTATTAACAATGCAAAGTATCGACTGGAGGTAATGAGTAGGTGCTACTATTTTTATCACAAGTCATTTAAAGTATATATCCCTTTAAGTTATAAAGGATGATTAAAAAAAGTAATTATTAACTGATAAATCAAAAAATATATGTATTTAAAAAAAAAAAAAAATTAATTTTTTTTTTAATATTGTATTTATTTTGAAAGTAATTAAGTGGTTTATGATAAACTAAGTAGTTTATAAGTACCCCTAAATACATCCAAAATGACGAGAAAACCATTAAAATTCAACATTTGTATTGGTTAAAAATAAATTATAATTTAAAATATTTAGTTAAAACTTGAAAACTAATCAAACATAAAAATATTTATTTTGACTGAAATAAGTTCTGTAAAATTTCTAAATTTTTAAATTATATTGTTCAATAATCATCAATAAAATAATAACAAGCAAACATATATCGTCAGACTAATTTAAGGAAGATCAATAAGTTAATAGGAGGCTGTGGTTGTATTTAAAATAGGAAAGTAAGTTAACTAAAGTTTAATTAATCTAAATAACAAATTAATTATATAATAAATTTGCTATTTATTTTGTAACTTGTACTTTATATTCTAATTTTTACATGTGATACATATTTTAATTACTTTTTTCTGGCGCTTTTTTAAACAGTATTGAACTAAGTACTTGAAATATTCAAATGTTTCGATACCAACAGACAAAATGAAAAATTGTAACACTAACATATTGAATAATATTAGAAAATATATTAAAATAATTGATATTTTAAATTTAACGACATATTATAATTTATCACCAAACAAAAATATTTAAAACAGTAAAGTACGCATGAGTTGTGTACTATTGATAACTGTTATCAAAAGAGAATTTCGATAATACGAATATTACAAAAGCTAAATAAGTGATGAATTTCCATGTTAAATCCAAAACTTCAATAAATTTTACTTTAATAACAAACTTACACTATTTAGAGAAAAAACAGTTTACTTATTTTGGATTTAGTACTAAGTGTATATACTAAATAAATATTTATTTATTTATTTATTTAATAATAACTTATGAAACTATCCTTTTTACATAAATATAGCGTGTAATGTAAAAATTGATGTTCATATAACTAAACAATCATACAATTATATAATTATAATTATATGAATAAAACTAAAAACAAATACATTATATATGATATAACAAATAACTATAAAACTATAATAAAAAATTGTATAACTCTGTACCCATAAAAGTTGGTCAACAAGATATATCTCCTTCTTTTTCCTCACCTTATTGCTAACTACTTGGGATCGGTAACCTTTATCCACAACTTCCACTTGACTTGAATAAAAAAATATTTATTTACTATATAAATCTAGTCCTAAATCCAAAATTAGTAAACTACCGTTTTCTCTACTTAGTATTAGTTTTAATTGATCTAATTCACAATAAATTACTGAGTATGTACTATAAGTTAAAAAAAATTCTCTCGACGACCTATCTTCTATATGCAAATGACTGTTGTTAAAAAGAAACACTATTTTTATTTTATTTTATAAGTTTTCCGAAGTCATGAAAAAAAAGTTAGAATCTCTCAAAAAAAATTCTTTTTCTACTTACATTGAATATCAAGTTAAACTTATTTTGGATATTTTGTCTCCCCAAGTTTAGAAAAACAACTTTGAATTTTTGAACTAGTTTAAATTGTCCTTTTTAGCTATCAATATATGTAATGTACGGTTACATATATTACAGCATCGATTACAATACACGCTTTCATTCACATGGTACGAATTCAAACTTCCGGCTAATTGTAATGAATTATTTTTTCTTAATTCTTTTTGATTTGGAAAAAATTCAACATTCGTTTGATTTTTACCTTATTAAGATTAAATAACTTCAACGAACATCAAAGATCCCATCACTATAGTTTCCCCTTGTATGAAGTAATTTCTTATTCATAATAAAACTATTTTACAATATGATTTTTTTATTCACATTTGCGATAAAAATTATGAAATATACTACTACTCAATATTTTTTAGTAATTTCTCCGTAAAAATTATAACACTATGTTATTAAATATCATACTAAATTTAATTACTATAAGTAGTATTTATTCATATATCATATTTTTAAATCAAGAACCACTAATTGGGTTATAATTAAAGAATGACAGTTCATTCTGCTTTTGGAATAGTCCACCATTTTCTTAAAATTCAATACTATATACAAATTTACATTGAAACGTTTCTTATGAAAGTGGTTTTAATCACCATCAGATATCATTTATACTTGTCCCAAATATTCCACGTCCAAACCGTTTTTAAATAAAAATATATCAACTCTCTTAAAAAAAACTCAATTTTTTTATACAATATATATGTATAATAATAGTAAAATACTTCAAATACACTTTTTAACTACTGAATTTTCAGATAGCCAATCAATAATTTCACTACAGGTCTCTAGCAATGTATTATTTGCACTAAGAATTATGGATTGACTATTAAATACTTTCCTGCTTTTTTCACCTTTATTTGAAAAAATCATGAATACGTTCCTATTGATATGACAGTAATATTTTTACCTTCATATAATATATTATATTTATACTAAATATTTTCAATTATTTAAATTTAGATCACTAAAATTTATTTCCATTAGTAAAATGAGTAAAATAAAAAAGACGATAAAAGTTATTATCGTAGCTACTACTATTAAAAACCAAATCGAAGCGTTTATACCAAACAATAATAATTATTATGTAAATAATATGAATGAAAAAACGGATATCAGTTAGTTCCTTAGAACCATATTCTCCATCACTGGTTTTCGTTTTAAAATACTACAGTTAATGTAACACTTTCCCCGAAATTGAATAAGTAGGTTTCCTCATTGAATTCATGTTGACAAATCATAGTAAGTTTGAATGATGTATGTTGGCTCTACTGACAATCGATATTCTAGACAGAAATAATGAATTATTAAAACAAACCCAACATAGCTAATAAGTAATTGGAGAATTATTGAAATTTAGCTAGCATTTTGTATACTTGTTTTCAAAAACATTTATTTTTAAGAAATATTAACATTTTTAGAGGTATTAGATCTACACCCCGGTTTAAACTTATTTAAAATATTTTGTGAAGTGTTTTCTTATGGTTCCTTTAACATGTCGTTGTAAATTTAAGATATGAAAATCATAACGACTATCTAAAACAAAGGTAAGCATTCGATAAATAAATGTATTATAATTTTTTGTAAACGTATAATTTTCTTAAGCGTGTTCTAAAGAGTACTTGAAACTAGTTGTCCCAAATTCTACCGTAGCTTCCCCCTAAAAAAAAAAAAATAAAAATTACCAAATTATTTTTATATAGAATTATTTTTATGTGAAATAGAAATTACAAAATTAGACTGCCAAAAGTTATGTTCATGATACACATGTAATCATTTTACATTTTTTGTATGACATAAGAGGGGGTTTAAAAATAGCAAAGTTTATATTCAAAATTATGTTATCCAACTTAATTTTAAAAATGTTACGAAAATTTTGAAATATTTAAATAAAACTTAAGCTTAAATTAACTTATATAGTATACTTAATTTTGAAAAAATTAAGACACCAAAGTTCAAAAAAACATTTATTTTGAGTAAAATTTTTCGAACAAAAAGAAATATCACCGACATATCTATTCATATCTCCACCAAAACCACATCATCATTATCAGGTATTCTTTGTATCACCTCATTTGTCTCTCTTCAAAACATTTTCTTGTCTATTTCATTTCATCCTACTTGTAGTTGGTGTATAGGTGTATAGGACATTACTACATTCAACACTCTTCCTCGAAAATTAAATTTACGCCTATAATACTTTCCCTCTTTCTAAGTACTTCTACTACTTTACTTTTAATCTTCTCAGCCATTATTATCCCTCCACCATTTTTTGTTTTGTTCTTACCTGAGTATATTATAATATAACCCTCATCTATCACCCGTTCTTTCTCTCCCTTCCACTTAGTGTCGTCCTGCTTTCAGCAAATATTGACTTGTGTCCTCTTCAATACTTCTACTAATTCACTACTTCTATCAATTAATGTTCCAAAATTCTATATACCTATTCTTACTTTGTATATCTACCTTTCTCTCTTATACAAGAATCCAGCGAATAGTTAAGTGATGATTTTCCTACATAGTTGATACTATAAGCGTTGGGCAGGTTTGTACATAACTGGTGAAACTGTTACCGCACAAGTTGTCCGGCTAGTATCAGACAATTTATTCTTTAGGCCTTTTCCGTCTCTGACTACTTTATTTCCTCTCACCTGATATCCCCGCGTACATCCTAGGTTGGATAATCCGCCTAACTTCTCTTCAGGACTCCTATTACTTTTTGACAAAATTTTAAAACAGAGTGGTGGTGACCTGACGCAACCTCATTAATCGCCTCTTACGGCTTGTAGAGGAGCCATCCAAGAAATCTTATTCCCTAAACACTGGGATTGGTATACTACCAATCTATTCTTTTTATTTTTCCTCGCCTTATTCCCAACTATTTGGAATCGGCAACTTTTGTCCTAAACTTCACTTGACACCATCTCCCACATCATCTACGCACACATCAGCAATCCTCATATTGCATTCAATAACATCCTTCCATCTCTCTTTTGGTCATCCTCACCTCTTTTTCCTTCAAAATTTATTTTTATAACTGTTCTTAGAGCTTCTGATTCCAGTCTACTACCAATCTATAGTATTCTAATTTTTTTGGTAACATGATAATTTATAAATCAGTTCTAAAAAAATTATTTTGGGTTTCACCTGAATTAAACTGACGACTATTCCCGTTAAATTGCCCGTTAAAGTAATATTCATATATTTTTTTTAATAAAAAGATTTTGATTAGATTATGTATTTTTAAAATTAAATATTTCCACAAATAAATGGAGTATAAGATTAGTTTTTATACCAAATGTCGCAGAAAAATTAAATATATTTTGCTAAACCAAATTTTTTGCGCCGTTTTCAAATATATTAAATATGTTAAACCCAACCTATTTTGTTAGTCCTTAAAAGTTAATTTAACAAAAATTATAATTTAAAAATGTTGAACTTTTTAAATTTTTTTTAGCTCAACTTGCAAGTTTGAAATTTATATCATTAAATAGAAAATTTTATGAGAATTAAAAAAATCGTATTGTTTGAATTGATATGTAGTCAGAAATTTATATAATTACTATTAACGATGAATTTTTGGAATAACCCAAAATTTCATTAAATTGATTATTCTTTTGTATTAATATCTAACTAAATAATTTCAGTAAAAATCATTTCTATGCAATTCTTGTGTTTAAATGCTATAATTGAAATATTCAAAACTTTATTCCGTATAGTTATATTGTATTCTATAATATACTGATATTCAGAAATATTTCTTGCCTAGTTTCATCAATGATTTCATCTGGTGATATGTTTTTAAATTTCATTTCAACATATATTTTTTTTATATGTTCATGCTAGTGTTTCACTCGTTAGTAATAATCTTAATAATTAAAGGTAATAGAAAAAAATTTAATTGTAGGTTTGAAATAATGGAGAAAAATTGATCTAGAAAAGTAAATTTTTGATTTTGATGACATTTTATGTATTTATTCATATTTTATACTAATAAAATAAATAATTACTAATTAGGATACAATGAAGGAAATAGGAATTTATATTGCTTTTAAAATAATCCACCAATTTCTTAAAATTAAACACTATCGAAAGATTTGCATCGAAACGTTTCTTATGATGGTAATTTAAATCACTGTGAGATATCATTTATACTTGTCCCTACTTTGTCACATCGATACTGTGCCGTGACCTCACTGTGCTACCATTTTTTTAATAACAACAGATTTAGTTATTGAACAACTTTCTAGATAAATAGGCGTAAGATATGTAAAGGAGAATATATAATTTTGGACAGTTTTGTTTAAATAGGGTGTTTATTAAGTAAAGAAAAGGGTGTGTATTGTTCTCATTGTTTGTAAAAATTAATATTTTTCTACTCTGTAAGCGTTGAAAAATATATGTATTTGAAATTTGGACATCTTTTTTAAAATTGTAATGATAAAAAATGTAAAATGATTTAATTACTGTATTACAGTAGTAAATTTAATGATAGTAAATTTAATAATAAGCGTTAGTTTCATATTATACATATTGTTAATCTTTTACTTTTAATTAATTTACAATAAAAATTTTGAGTAACCTTTTATATTTGATCAAAAGAAATAAAAATTGGACAGATTTCTTTTTTTTAACGTAGGCGTAAATTTATTAAAAAATTTGAGGGACTTAAATTTATTTATTCCCTTGCCAATATATTTTTCAATTAAAATACATATAAATTTTTTTTTTATTTTAAAGAGGCTACGACAACTTCTTGCATATCTTCTCAATTTTTGTTTTTTGTTTATTATAGATTTATAATGAAACAGACTTCTACAAATATTCATAAATTTATCAGTATTGTTATATTTTAAACAATACGTGTTTAAAATATCAACGTTTACATTGGTCTAAGGGGATATTTTAAACTGTTTTTTTAAAACCCTGAAATTTAGTGGTTAAAATTGTGCCATTAAAAATCAAAGGATACAATGACACTCTCTGAATTATATATTTTTAAATTACATGGTGAATACTTTACAAAAGACAATTGTCTTTCTAAAAAAAAATTGATATTTAAACTAACGTCTATGATTGGGATTTGAAAGATGTAATTCCCAGGGTCATTGCATATCACGTTTGCGTATCTACAATTTAATATTATTAATTTGTCCCCTAAGGTACAGTTTATCTAACTCTTCATCCTCTCAAAATTTAAACAAGAAATAAGAAACTCTCATTGTCCCGCTCTATACAATTTTTACTTACTTATATATTACCCTCTAACTGCTTATCATAACTCGCTAAATAGATATAATGTTTTAAAAAATATTCGATTTCTTTTAGTTACAAATATTTCTTATTTATTAATTATTAATTACTTTATAGCATCATACCTTAAAACTTATAGGAATGTCAACTCAATTTTTTTTAATGGTAACATACATATTTATCTAGCTTATAAATTAGGAAACGAAATTTCCTATACAGCAGAATTACATCATTTATTTTGATTGCAGCAAAATTACTTCATTTATTTTGATTGGAAATTCTTTTTTTTAACGGATTGAATGTTTTTTGTTCGATAGAAACACTAATGGATCAACAATGATAGCATTATATTATACACACATATTGTTAAGTAATAATAATAATAAGTTAATGAGACTACTTGTGTTGATTTAAAGTTTTCAGCAAATCGATGCCGTAATACTCTTCTTTTAAGTTAAAAAAAAAACAAATAATATATTGTCACAATTAGATAGTACCAAAAGGGGGCCATAAAATATAGGTGTAATACATTGATATAAATCAATTTACCATTTAAGTTTATTCCTTAGAAAAAAATACATTTCATTTTTTTTTTGTTATTCATGAATGCATGAATGAGATCATTATAAAAAAACATGAAGTCAGAATTAATTTGAGAAGTAAAAATTAGGCCGTTATCTAATTAGTACCATAACTTGAAACACGATTTTGATGAGTTTTAGATAAAACTTCAAAAAGGTTAAAAATTTGATTTTTTAATAATAATTATACATTATAATCAAGATTAAAATAAAACAATTTGTGTATCAGCGTGTTAAATAAAAATCTCTATATTAATATTTCTAAAATTACAAAAGTAATTACATATATAATGATAACTATAAAGCGAATTTTATGTTTTTTAATACTAATGCAGTGTTGAATCCAAGGGAGGTATGATCTTCTCCGATATTGGCAAATTATCCCAATTTGAAAATGGTATCAAATTAATTATATGTATTGTGTGCAGTTTTTTCACTTATACCATTATTTATAAAATTATTTGATATTACTAAACTATTTTCATAAATAAAAATTAATTATTTTATAATTATTTAAAAAAAAACATGACTTAGTTAATATGGCGCCATAAATAATAGGTACCTCATAAATAATGGGTACTATTTTAAATTGTTATTTAATATTTTTATTTTCAAATAGTGCTTGAATTTAAGAAACGCCGTAAAGTATATAACTTTCTTATTTTTTTTTTTGCGTTTTTTTACTGCACATTCCTGATTTTTTTTTTATGGTTAAACAGAGCTCTTCTACTTTGAACTAAGATCAAAATGGGTCACCCGGATTCTCTCACATGATAGACACATACTCTACCAGGCTCAATAAGTTCCATGAGCGTAATTATTAAAACAATTTGAATGTGGTGTTATACATTTTCTTTATCCAAATAAATATTTTTACGCAAAACAATATGCATCATAATTCACTTACCATGAACCACTAAATTAATCGAAAAATAAAAATAATATTTATAATTAGATCAATAGAGAAATTACTAATTTAAATATTTGAAAAATAATTTTCTTATCAATAACCAATAATTATTTAACTTCATTCATAGTATCGAATTTTCAATCTCTAATACTTAAATTTTCATAAAATTTTTAGTCGGATAGGGGAAAGCAAAAATGTATGATCTTTATACAATTTTCCATTGTAATACTTTTGGGACTTGTCCGGACTCCCATTGTCATAAAATCAAAGTATCAATGTTTTTTGTTCACCAGGTTAATATGATTAAAAATAAATCACAAAACACTTAAAATCATAAAAAATAATATGTAAGTTTCTCTTCACTTTCAGAATTTTTGATTCTTCAAATAAATATTTTGATAATTGAATTATTATTATAATAACCGATTATTATTATAATCAGTTATTCAACTAATAATAATCCACCAATTATAATCGCAAATAATTGTCAACTAATAAATAAAATAGATACTAATCGATTAATTACACTGATAACTACTTATAATCAAAGTTTCTATTGTAATCAAATTTGATTCAAACGACTTGTTAATTATTTTATCAAATGAGTAATAATAATTTCATCAATTATAACTATAGTTATTAATAATAATCTAAAATCCCAAGTCACAGCTGGAACAAAACCATTGTATATAAATAGTATTCCTTATCACAAAACAAGTTAATATTAAGTTAAGATAATAATTTAATTCAAATACAAGTTTGATATATCACGGTTATTTGAAAAGTTATTGAGTAAAATTAATACTAAAAATGATTAATCATACAAATTTAGGAGATTAAACGTTAAATCTTGGTTATTATTAATACGTAAATAAATTTAACAATACGCTAATTCTAATATAAATATGTAATCTTTTCATTCCCGATTTTTTATTTATATATATATATTATGACAATTTTATTTTTGATAATTATTAGAAGTAATGAATGAAAAGATTGAATTTTTTTTCGTAACAATTCAAGTAATAAGATTTTTTTAGTCCTCCCTAAATTTAATACAAAACTTCTGTCCATGATCCCTACCTACCATTACTTTCATAACAAAATAGTTTATACATAAGAATAAATTATCTTACTTATTTTTTTCTATAATGTGTACGAAACTAAAACCAAGATGAAAAATTAATTTTAATGAAATATAAATATAAACTATAGTGGTATTTAATATACCTATAGGTTTATGCTAATTATCCTTTATTATTCATATTAATATTTGAAAAAACTTGTACACTATTAACCATTTCAAAATTTTTCCACCTTTGTTATATACTTAATTATACCACCAGAGACCATTGTTTCTCTGAATTACTACTTAAAAACAAACCTGGCCACATGAATAATATCATTTGAAATGTAATATATTATTTTGATTCTAAATTCATCTTATAACTTTCATTTAAACTTGGATTTTATTTACTATTAAATATAAAGAATAAATAAAGGAAGCTAACTGTGATGATACAACGGTAGGATAATTATTATAGAGTTCACGTATCATGGGGATCTAACGAAATGTAATTATTAAAAACGAATTTAAAATAATTAAAATAACAAGCCTATTACTTTAATTTTTGGCACATTTTCTTTCTTTTTCTCTGCTCTAGTGCCTTATAATTTGATATTAGTTCACATGCGTAAATATAAACTACACTTATATCGTAATAATCATAAATAGAAAATGATCGTAATATTAGTTTTTTTAATATTGTTATTTGTTTTATATATCAAGTAAACTAGACACTTCTATATGTATTATACTTACTAATCGTTAAAAAAACAATAATAACAACAGCTGTGCATGTACTTTCCAAACATATATATTGAACTAGTAAATTGGTAATCTTAATATCTTATAATGAGTGATGCAATAAACGGTTAATTACTGTAATAGTCCAAATTGTAATCTAATTCTTTTCTAAAAAAAAAACTTTAGCAAATTTAAATAATTTATTTTTGAAATTATTTCATCTATATTTTAATAATTATTTTTTAATCGTTATATTGTTATAAATAGATAGACAATTATAGAATTATTTTTTAATAAGTGGCTAAAAATGAGACACGATAGTAACGGAAGTATTCTGTTAAAACTATTGTATGAATTAAAATATATACAATCTACTCTACTATGGACGATTAAGAGAAAATTTGGGTAAGTGTAATCAGTAAAACACTTTATGGATTTTAAATTTAAATCTATATTTATTTAACAAAAATAATTTACTTACCAAAATTATTCAATCTATTTTAATTTAATTCTTATAATTTATTTAAACTATAAATTACTAAATACAATATTTAACCATTGATATTATTAATGGGAACATTTGGATTTTCCAATGTTCAAAATCCGGAGTTATAGGATTAGAAATTTTGAAATCAGAATTTTTAATGTGTTCTTACATTTGGTAAAATTTTATCTAGAACAGTAGATATAATTTTTTATAATTTTTTTTGTGTGTGTCTATCACTACTTTTTCTCAGCTCTCGTTGGACTGATTTTTCTCAACGATACGTTAAAAGATAACAAATCGTATCTAATTGAAGATATTATCCTTAAAAATTAAAAAAATTATATACAGAGTGGCCCACCACTCACTGACAACTTAAATAACTTTTGATCCAGTTAATATTTTTAGTTGATTTTTTTTTTAAATAATAGTTATACGTTAGGTCTATAGCTATATCTCAATAATTAATTTTTTTACATTTTATTAAAAATATTAATTATTTTTAAATTTTAAATAAAATGTAAAAAAAAAATCTAAGATAGCTATTTTGTAGAGTAGAATTTAAGAAAAATTTTAGTAAAAAAATATCTTATTAATATTCAGTAGTAAATATTCTGTAGCGTTTTGAAGTTTGTGAAAATTTGAATTTTCATGTACTATTTTACGGTTATAAACATTGACATACGTATTGAGAAAAGGACAGAAGAAAACGCTATCTTTTCAATATACTTTCGAATGAGAGTGATAAGTAATAATTGCCTTATCTAATTTCTTATCATGGTATTTATGCCAAGTTTGTAATGTATACACACTATCATCATAATATGATGATACATATTATGATACATTATGATACATATTATGTATACACAGTAATCATGAAAAGATAGCGTTTTCTTCTGTCCTTTATATATATATATATATATATATAGAATATGAAGTCAAACTTTTTTCAATTTTTTTTTCTTTTAAGTCGAAAAAATTAATTTTAACATTTGAATCAGCTTAAATTGCCAATTTTATTAAAAAACGGATGCGACGAACCTTTGCCGATTTATTCAAAATCATTGCCTTTTTTGCAATTTTTCCTTAATTCTTTTAGAGTTAAAATTTTGCTTTTGAATAATCCACCAATTTCTTAAAATTAAACATTATCGACAGATTTGCATCGAAGCGTTTCTTATGATAGTGATTTTAATTACTGTCAGATATCATTTATACTAGTCCCAACTATGCCACTGTGCCACTTTTCTCACTATCTCACACTGTGCCGCAACCCCTCTGTGCTACCGTTTTTTAAGATAATACAACTCCGAACGTAAAACAATTCTTATTAAATCAGTAATAAATTCTTTTCAAAAAATTCAATTTGCAAAAAGAGTTGTCATTTGAGACCGTATTAAAAACTGCTTCAGGACTGAATTTGAACATTTTCAACGTTAAACCTAAAAATGTAGTAAGGTTGAAAAAATTGAATAACGTTTTAATATTTAAATGTTTAACAAAAAAAATGTGTTAATCTACCCCTGTTAAAAATTATCAGCTTATACTGGAGAATATATCATGGTATTTGCTTATTGTAGTTTTGAAACAAAGTTTTTATTTTTTATTGTTATAAATTACTTTTATATAATATTAAAAATAACATCTCTATCAGAGTGAATGCACGCTAATATTCGCATGGACGGTCGACTTATTTATGTCTTATGGTTTTTCGTAAAAATATAATCTGATAAAAAAACAAATTATATATAATTGTATGTATATACATGTATTTATATATTATAAATGTATATTTACGCATATATTCAGAAAGTATAAAGTAACAGTGCGTACTGAACTTATACAGTTTTGTTACATATTATGTTTTGTATTCATGCTTATAACAGATCACTCGGGTCGATAAGTATTACATCGATGATGATTATCGCTTTCTGTAGTCAGCGAAAACAGAGCGACGAAATAAGCAAATATTTAAGAAAAACTCACACAATGGCAATTACACCTACGCTTTGTAGTATTTTGAGAACCACGTTACAAATATTACACAACCTATTCTGAATGCATGTGCGGGGCGCGGGTCGAGATTCATAGCCACGACGGTACGACCACACCACCCGCCGCTTTCTCAGCAGCAACCGTAGTGTGCATTCGCCGTCCGAGTATAGTCGTGTGCCGCGCCTACAACTCGCCGTGATTGTTATGTAAAAGTTATAACGCGATTAATCGATTTGTTTATTTTTTTCAAAACGTATTTGCACAAATAAAGCTGACATCATACGATGTATATTTATTTTTTAAGTATTTCAGAAAATACTCAATGAATTTAATATTACTACTCGCGGTAAGTTGTTGATTTATTGATGAGTGATAGATAACGCAATTTTTATTTATAACAACGTATTTAAAATTCTTTTAATTCTACCAATCGAATATATTAAACTTTAATGGTGACGGAAATAGACTTGTCACGGAAGTATTAATATCAAATTTGTAATCTTATATATTGTTGAAACTGTTGTTAATCCCAGAAATGTTGATTGTGCCACTAAACAGCGCAGATAAAATTTAACACTTCTCATATTATTCAGATACTCGTATTCGTACATTTGTTTGACTGATAAACATGTCCATTTATAAATTATTATATACAATAACATAACAAGTACTTCGAGTTGTTTCACACGCTAGTCCACTAAGATATTTCTAAGGCTTACATGAATAATCAATATTCAAATAAATATCTATTTGTTCAGAAAAATCAAAGCACTTATTATTTATGATATCAGAATTAATTTTATGTGTTTAAAAATGTGCTCCGTCGTTTCGCATGTTTTCTAAGAGTTATTGGTGGTTTGGTTTAGCGCGCAGTCCAGCTGATAAAAATAGTCGTTTAATACTGTTTGTTGTTCATTCGTTTTAATTCAAGGTCAATTCAGTAAACAAATATTGACTATTATTATCTTACGCTAAAATATAATACAAAAATTATCATTATCATAAAAATTAATTTTTAAAAATTGATCTTTTACTTAAATACTAAAATACTTCGAGAAACATGAGACACCTAAAATTCAAGGCAATCATGAAAATGATTAATAATGTTATTTTTTTTAAATGATTTCAACGTAAATCATATTCATATCGTTTGTATATATACGAAGGTCGACTATTAGTTTAGGTATTTGCTTTCGAAATGTTTTTTTGACCTTTAGAACTTAATTACTTTCAGCTGTTACTTCTTAACTATGTCGTTTCATGATAATTGATATTATAATTGTAAAGGCTAAATGTTCAGTGTTATAATTTAATAGATTATTTTTTTATTCAAATGCTTTTTAATTTTAGTGAATAAAAATAATACCGTTCAACTCTTATGACCACAACAAAGAGTTTTTCTAAAAACATTTTTACTCAAACTAATATTTTAAAATAGTGTTCTTAATATATAAGAAGACTAGGAAGGAAAGCGGTTATCACGTTCGGCAGATATAAGTTTACTGATAACTCCAATAATATATCGTAGAACTGAAGTTTTACTTATTGTAAATTACTTAAACATATTAGTTTTCATCTGTTAGAACGAGCGTTATTGATTATGTTTATGCCAGTCGTGTGTTTTTTTTTTTTTGTTTTAATTTTCTTATAAATATGAAGGAGGAAGTCAATATACAATGATGTTGTGCGGACCATTACAACTACTGCGTTATAGTTAACTGCTAACTATGGCCTACGTTGATAGCCATGTGTTTTTTTTCTTTAAAAATAAACTGTTACATGCTAAATCATACTAATTCGGTTCGAACGCACAGAATGTTGACGAATATATTGTAATCAGTGGTTGCTTTCTGTGGAACTTGTGAAATAATTATTGATTACGTTTTATTGTTCAAAATACGGCTCCTATGTTTACATCGTGCCTGTTTTCAGTTGGGACTTGGTTTTGCCCAGCCAATTTCATTTGGCCCTATGAGAATCATCAAAATCATGCGTTAACATAAACTGGTGGATTGCAACTTCTGCTCCACCAAGCTATCAATGGACGGTGACAATGATAGCGGAAAAGAACGGTTTTTAGTGGCCACTGACAAGAGGCGTATGAAAGCAAAAAGAAGTTGTTCGGCCATTACAGAACGAGAAACGAGTAGCTCGTGGTTGTTATCTAGACAACATCCAACAACTAGGAAGTCTTCTAGAATATACAGGTACAACATGCTCTAATGAATCAAAAAACAAATAATTGTCTCGTCAGAATTTCGAATTTACCTAGATTATTAATAGTTATTGTAAAAACACCTACTAATCATTCCAAGTATTAAAACGCCAAGTGTAAATTATCTTCGTGTGTAGGCCGACCAAAAATGTTTAAGCGTTTTAAAATATTTAACTATTTTATTAACATTATATGGAACTGTGGAATTCATAGAAATATAATAATCTAAATATTATTTTCTAAATATAGTAAAAATAGTAATAATATAATAACAATTTTTTTGCGAATAATTTATGTTGACGAACTTACAAATATAATGTGCACTTTTGTATAAAATATAGACGTCATTTAAGAAAAAACGAAATTACTCTTATTAAACATTTCTCTTTAAAACACACCATCAGCAAACTACGTGTCTTAGGAAAAAAAAGATTAAGTATAACTACTGAATGCATAACCAAGGCAAACAACGCTCGTGTACAATTGCCTATTTTTAATTCAGACTGACATCACTTGTTGCTTATTTTTGTAATTTATAAAATTCTACTAGCCAGCATGAATTTCGAGTTATTTATATTACTAATGTATTACAGTACGTAAACAGCGCACTTTTAATTATACAATTAACAATCAAAAACATTTGATTATAAATAAATAAATTCATTGATGTGAAAAGTAAAATATCTAGAATTATGAGCTAGGTTAGTTATTTATTTATTACTTTGCCTTAATAATACGCTAAGAAAATAAACTAACCCTTTGTTTTACACTGATGATTACTCTAAATCTGCATAATAATAATTGTTAGTTATTTTTTAATAGCTTATTAGTTGACGTCATTTTAAATTTAATAATTATCTGAACTTTCTTTAAAAGACGGAAGATATTTAGGGCAATGATGTCATTATGACGTAAACCACGTACAATGTATACAGGTATTGACCATTGCTAAATCCACCGTCAGATTAGTGCGACTACTATCTAAAATACTTCAATTTATTGGTGTATTAATATGATTTAATATGTTGAGAGATGGCTAGATGACGATAAAGATATTTTCCATATTTAAATATATATATATATAATTAAATGCTATTTACTATGTATAACCCCTTTCCGGGATTCATAAATTGTAGTCACGGATGACCTTCATTTGACTCGTCATTTTTTTTATAATTAACCACCCCATTCCGCTGATAAAATTTCCGGTTACTTATCACTGTCTACCCTCCACTTAAAAAAAAAAATTTAAGTACAATACATTTTTACTAAAATATTTTTTGAATATTAAATTGCTCTTTTTTATGAAATGATTGAAAAATGTATGAAGCATAAATTGAAGATGCAAGTAAAATTAAAATAATTTTCTTTATAGAAACTAAGCGACTTTAAAGGTAACTTTTGTGGCCACTTTAAATTCTAAAAATTTTGTTATTTTTCTTCGAATTTAAGCGTTTGTTTCTGATTGAAAATGGATAAAAATAAAATTATTTAAAAAATAAATATTTTTAATCTCAAAGAATATTGAATCTTCAAATTTATGATATTGCTTAAAATTATTTGAATAGCGATCCAATATAATACTGTTCCTGAAACATTAAATAATAATTTGTTATCTGTAAATAAAATAATAATCCTATATTCGCTTTTAATATATTCAGTATGTTAATTGTAGATTAATAGAAGTACTCGTCCTTATGTTTCCAGCCCCTGAAGCTAACCTACGCTCATAAAGGTGCGTGCCCTACCAGATATATGTACTTAACCCCCCACGCGTTAATCTAAATTGTGTGGTAGGCGTTTGTTGTTTGTACCTCTCAGTTAGAGTGTCCACTATCCTATACTACGTCGTTGATTTCCAAATCCCACGGTTATTTGTGGGCGAACTTGCAGGTATGACTTTGCGCGCGATTTTTTTTTCTTCCGTCTACTATTTCATACAAATATTAGTATTAATATTATATTTTTTTATTATTCCACCACTGACTCTAATCTCAATCAATACTCAAAAATAACTAAATTAAAATAAAATTATTTTGCTCATCTCTTTGTTTGCATGTAAGCATGGTACAATTTTCTTTTGTTTATTTTAGTTCTTATAATACTCCTTTGGCGACTTAAGATTTCTTTTTTAAATTATCTATAATTACTTGTTAATAAATGATCATGTTAATTAATTTTTATCGTGTTAAACCAATCTTTTAAAAGTGAAATTATCTAAAAAAACAATAGTATGTAATATTCAATTATGTTTCTATTGCAATTTTACTAGATAGTTGATTTAGTGATAGTGTTCAATTATTATACTAAAAATAAATTCTATGTGTGAGCTTTGTTCAGCATATGAATAATTTTTTTTCAAAACTCGATTTATTATGTTCAAGTGAGTACACAAATTGATTTTAATAGAACTTAATAAAAGTATCAATTTCATTATAATAGTTCTGAATTCAAAAATATTAGTTACTACATAAGTGACCGAAATCCATCACCTTAATCATCTATTATGATCACATTAATCAACTGATTTTTTTATTTTCGTTAAAAAAAACATTAAAAAGGTTATTGTATGTTCTAAAAATGAATTCAATAAATAGTAGAGCCAACTTCAATATACAGGAACCCATGGAGGTTTTGACATGTCTTTAAACTTTTGATCAAGTGAATATAGTTAATTGGATACTATTGAAAATTTAAGCATTTTTTTTCGTAAATGAAAATGAAATTGATTCAATAAATTACAATGATGTGTAGGTAAATAATTTTTCTTCGTCCCTTCAGGTATAATAACCCTAAACTTTAATTTTCCTTAATAGAAACTGCTATTTTTAGATAAATAGGAAAAAAATTTACAAAATTTGTTTTTATAATTTAGTTTTTTCTAATGAAACATTTAAATTTTATTACTTGTTTAAATTTAATGATTTTTTATTGGTAATTTTTTGTTTAGCATACAGTAGTCCTTATTTGTCGCAAGTACAACTCGATATTATCCATTATACAGAAATATTATCTTTAACAATTACTCTTATATACTATGTTACACACAATTATATTTAATGCAAGTCTACTGTCGAACATTGTTGAACAACCAATATGAAATATTATTGTTGATAACTACCATAAAAATAATTAAAATAGATTAATGTTGCTACCGATAATATTAACATTAAATTAATGATGTATTTTTATTTTAAATCCAAATCTTAAAACAATTTCAAAACGCAAACGATTGAACGTCAGATAAAAAGAATTATAAGAAATTGATTTTTTTCCTTATTATATTAACAAATTAAAAATAAGAATTCCCATCAATTAAAGTTAAAGTTTTTATTCTTGATAGGATGAAAAAATAATTATTTAACTACATTTATTGTAGTATTTAAAATCAAATAATATTTTCATTTACGAAAAAAGATTTTTAATTTTCAAGAGTATCCAAGAAAATGAGTATCCTTAACGAACCACTTTGTTGGCTATATTAATTAATTTTATTCTATATGCTTAACAATTCTATTTCTTATTAAATATTGACAGATAATGACACAAAAATCCTATCTTAAAACTTCAATAAACCTCTAAGTATACGCGATTAAAAAATAATTTTAATTGGTTTGAGAAATTAATTGAATACAGCAACAGATAATAGAACGTTTAGATTAAATTATTTTAAAGCTGGATTTAAATGTAATTAGTAATGTGTTTAACTAGTATAGAAATTTGATACAATTTTTCTCTAGAACGTTGCAATCTAATTTTGATTGCTTGAGCAGAAACACGAGGAGGTAGTCCCCCAGAATTATATTTTTCGTTTTATAATAAAATATTTTAAGTTGGGAGAAAAGTACTGAAATATTCCATTTGTCCCTTAAAATTTTTATTCTACTTACATTTGAACATCTAATTTCAATATCTATATCCATTATTTTTTAGCTTCGATGCGAAGCTGAGAAGGTATTGGTTTTACTATGTGTTTTTTTTTTGTTTGTCTTACCACTTTTTCTCAGCTCTCACCGAACGAATTTCTTTCAACAATACGTGAAAGATCACAAATCGTATCTAGTCGAAGACATTACCCTCAAAAATTGAAAAAATNTCAAAAGATCACAAATCGTATCTAGTCGAAGACATTACCCTCAAAAATTGAAAAAATTTCCCTCGTTCCCCGTAAATGGGGGAAATTTCCAAAAAAATTACAAATTTAAAATTCGCTAATTTTCAATTTTTTTTACTTAAAAGTGCCATAACTTTTTTAAAAATAACCAAATCAATATAATTTTTTTTATATAGATGCATGATATCGTTACTTTTCATTTGATATATTTTGTTTATAAATCTGACCCTTTACCTGCCCACAGTGGGGATTTAAAATGACAACTTTTTCACAAAAAATTTACTTTTTCAACTTAACTTTTGAAAATGTTCCGGAAGGTCTGACACTTTTATATATATCTTAAATTAAAGCTAATGTAATATACTTTATTATGAGAAAAAAAAATTTCGGACTTTATTTTATCTTCACGGTGAAAATGGCTACCAAATGCTATTATTGTGTGAAAATTCTCGATTTTATTTTTTACATTTTTAACTTTATAATGCTATGACATATTGAAAAGTGTATGGATCAACACAATTTTTTTATGAGAAATAATATTTTTTAACAATCCCTTTTTCATTCGACATACTTTATCTTAATCAGGATATTAACAAGGAACTAGCAGATCATGTAGCTTTTGGAATAATCCACCATTTTTTTTAAATTAAACACTATCTAAAGATTTGCATCGAAGCGTTTTTTTTTTGATAGTGATTTTAATCACTGTCAGATATCATTATACTTGATCCAACTATGCCACGTCACCACTGTGCCTCGACCCCCCTGTGCTGGGTTTTTGATTTTTATTATTTTTTTATTAATAAAAATTATTACTGCTGATATTTTGAGCAGTTTAAAATTTTTTTCATGAGAATTGTGTGAATAATTGACAGGTCAGCACATAGATTCTTTTTTGTTTGTATTTATTTAAATCGAGTTTACGCAAAAGACTATTGGCGCCTTTCCAAACCATATGGCCTCCTGTAAAGTAAACTTATTTCTAAAATATGATATTGGAATGGATATTTGCTTCACTTCGTCATGACTAGTGATATTATTTGTATAATACAAATATATTATACTGTATTATAGATTCATATAATACGTATTTTATAAATAATAAAATGCCAATGGTACAAAATAATATAAAAACGAGATAATTTATAATCAAAATGAGAGTAGTTTGTTCAATGGGCAACAAATTTTGGTGATCATATTAATGTATTATAGATTACTATACGTCAATGTTCTTTATTTATCGATTATAAATTTTAAGATTAATTTAATAGTTAAGTTAGATAACATTTTTATATTTTAATAGTTTTTGTTGCAACTTGCATGTTTTATAACTTTTATGTTTTTTTTATTTATATTGAAATTTAGAGATTTAGAGTAAAGATAAACAATGTTCCTTGTGTTATTGCTTATTTTTTTTTTTATTTTTAATGCTGTTAAAATAATTAATACTTTAATATTTATTTAACTATGCAATATGAACTATATAAAGAAGTATTTTAGTAAAGTTAAATTAAATAAAGTTCCAATGTATTTCTTATTTATATAATAAGGAATAAGTAATAATTAATATTTCAATATTTATGTTTATTTTGTTGTTCCTTTATTGCCGATGTATTAGCATTTTATTTGTAAACAGTGTAAAGTTTATTAGCAGAATACACAATTTTTTCATATTATTTACTTGTTTATTTTTATTAAATTTATTTGCTATGAAGTAGTAATAAAATTTCCTTTTTAAGCAATTTGCTTACATTTTTACAAATCACTTTTTTTATATGGGACTTGAGAATAAAACTTGTAGTGTTAACACAATTTTAAAATCATATTTTAAAAAAGTATTATGCTGTAGGTTGAATCAATAATTATGAAAATAACTACTGTTAAATGCTAAGTGATAGATAATCTTATTTCTTTTAATTTAAACTATTGAAAGTTTTTTATTATCACCACTCATTGTCTATAAGTTATGAATGTTAAAACTATTCAATTTCAGTAAAAATAACCTATTATATAACTGAAAAATAAAATACTATATTTTTACATCTCTAGTCATGACTAATATTAATAAAGCCAATTATCTAAAGGTACACTTGGGAATTCTAATCCGTGCTTATAAGATCTACGTACGCCTAAGGCTCCGTACTTTTATTTTAGTTGTAGCCCATCAAAAATATGATAGGCAAAAGAAAATCATATGGTTCTAGGTTAATGAAGTTTTTAGTGCTGCGTTGATAGCGTATCTAAAACTTTGTATAAATAGCGTCGGTATTGTTAAATATGCACGGTAGCTTTCCAAAATATAAGTTAGATAAGGTCATCCAAAAAGGTTACAAGGCGTTTATAGATCACAGAAAGTACTTTAGATACTCCAGGGCAGATGTCTGACGTCGGTGAGAGGAATGATGGCTCTAATTACTAGAACTGATCTCTTGTATAGTAAAAGGAACTATCTATAACCGAGTCTTGAAGCTGAGACAGAGCGCATCAGACACCGAAGCGTTACCGACTCTGCCACACCGTCACTCTTAAATATTAATACAATAATAAAATAAAATATTCAACTAATGTTGTTGAATTCTAATATAATGTTTTGTTAAAATATTTAAATAGACCTATCTTTACTCTTATAGAATTAAATCAGAACTTAAAATAGTGCGTCTCCTGACATAAATAGTACTTTCTAAAAATAAATTTCCTGCGACTTAGAAATATGTGACTAAGTCGTATAAAAAATGTTTTAACATACATTTTAGTAAAAACAGAAATCATAAAAATAATTCAAAATTATGGATCTCGAAAAAATGTTGGTTTTGCTACTGATTAACACTGAAATTGAATTAAAAAGTTACCTGAAATCGGATCTTTCAAATTATACCTGTTTTAAATTGCGCGAAAATTTTTTAAAATTTGATGTCCTGAAAGGTAATGTTTTTTTTTGTGTGTGTTTTAGGGAATTGTGTCTAGTATGGAATGGTCGCGTGGGATCACCTAATACAACTGCATCTGCCCACAAAGTTCAATTGCTATTCAATGACCTAGGGTTGTATCCAACATCTGCTCAAGGTAAATTGGTTTGAGAAATAAATTTACTTTTAGTTTTACACGAAACATAAATATAATATTATCTTGTGTTTAACTTATAGTCTCTGAAATGATGCAGTGCACGATGAAATGTGCTAATAGGAGTTCACCAGCACATATGACATTTGGAGAATTTTGTATATTAGCAAGAAAACTGAAAAATGGTTTAGATCGAGGGTAAGAAAAAGATTAACAAGTTTAAAATATTGTAATTGAAAGACTTTTTAAAAAAAAAAAAATTCTTTTTGTTGTGAATTTTAAATAATATTTTCGACGGGGTTTGATTTAAAGTTATTGACGAAATTAATGTACTTTTTAATAAAAAAAAAAAAACACTTAATTTCATTATTTTAATCTGATCAAATTAAAATCAATTAATAATTAAATTAAATAATTTGAAATAAAAATGTAAACAAAACAGTTATTCAAAAATTATAATCACAGTATTGTTTAGATTTTATCAATTATTATTAAGTACTGTCAAATGTTTCAACTAAGGACTGTAATTAATCTTTCGTAGTTACGCTGTAATTGAGTATTATTATTATTTATCATTAAAATATAAATAAATAAATAATTGTAGCATACTAATAATAATTGAAACGGAGTGGTCGGCCATTCGAAACCTACAAAAAATATTTATACATAAATATATAAATGTATATGTATTCGCAAAACGTGCATAAAGCACGGCACGTATAAGAAATAATAAATTTGGTTCAACTCATCAAATAAATTAAATTAAATTATACATTACCAGCCCTAAAGGGTTAAGAAACAGGAGGCGACGCCACGAAAAATACAAAATGTTATATACTTACAACGTGGTCACTGACGAAAAATAAATAATTTTACTCTATAAAATATAATTTGTTCAGTACAATTGTTTAGGTTCAGATTCTAACACACGACCATCCGAATTTGTGATTAAAATCTAACAACCGTCTAGTTCGATGGAGGCGCCTAAACCTCTTGAGCTTTTGAAAGGGGTTAAGATCAGGTCGGAAATTATTAAAAAATCAAATATGTTAATATGTTGAGTCTACCCATGCAAAAATTTTTGTTAAGTACCAATATTGACAACGAGTGAAGTATTATACCATTACTGACAACTGACCATTGGTTAGTCAATACTAGCGTAGTACTGGCTGGCGTTTTGTCTAAGTACTTATCCAGCATTGGTAATTCTTGGCCGCCTTTGCTGGTAGGGTATTGGTATATACTGGTTATACAAAATCTGTACTAATCTGTCAGTACAGAAAAACGTTATCGTTCCAGACATATGTCAGTACTGGTAGCCGGTACTGCACCAGAACTGCCAGTACTAGTGCAGTGCTGCGTTGGTTGTTAAATTCTGATTGGGTCACTGGAGAATGTAATAAACAATAATACGTTTATTAGCGTTCAGTACATTGGAAAGTGTAACAGGGGGAAAGTGGAAGGTACACAATTAGATATCCGCCAACATGTTTGTCGAAGTAGCATTTATGACACCGCTGATGCATATAAAGCGCACAAACATATCAAAAATAAGAAAACACTAAGATCCGTAGCACACGCAGGAGGATTAAACAAATTAAACTAAAATATAAATGTCAAAAATGAAGGGGTACTTTTTTGTCATATTTCAAAATATATTAGGTATTAAACGTAAATTGCTCGGAAGTAATTTATTATCCTAAAATGTATTAATAAAAATAAATGTTTATTTGAAATAAGCATAGCGAGTGTAACCAGCGGAATTTTTTTTTAAGATTAATACTATCCAGTATTTCCCGTTTAATAAAAAATCATCTATCCGTTATTGGCCGCCTATTATTATACAGAAATATTAAGAATAATTGTATTTTAAGTATTCTTAACTCTTCTTCTTTTCTCGGATATCAAGTTGAAGGTTAGTTTAACATCATCCGACTTCGGTTGAATTAGTGTATACAAAGAAAAGAGTTCAGTGTAATAGTTTCTGAGCCTTACACGAAAAAAACACGATGCTTTTTAATTGTTAATACAACAAAATATTTGACCTTATGTGCACTAATCTATAGACAAAGAGTAAAATTGTGACACCTACTTAGGAACTATCATAATAACGGTTTGAGTTATAATAGTTTTAAAATTCAAATTGCTACAAGTAACTTGTGTCGTTTTCATGTACGACATTATTATTTTTAAGTTTATTATTAATAAAACATTTTTATTTCTCGTTGTGATTGTTGATTATTAATATGCATGATATTATTTATAGAATTCCAAGATCAGTGCAATTTTCCCGATTATTAGAAAAAGACCAAGAAAAACACAATGGAATAAAACGTAACTTAAGTAAGCAAGATATTATCTTCTTATGTTCAGATAATTTATCTATTTGACTCGCATTTCAAGATTTTTTTCTAATAAATATAATCTATTCAATTATTTAACTAGTTATTCGGGGTAGATAATTGGAGATCTCTGACCCACAATACAATAACTCAACATAGTGAGGAAAAGTATAGAAAACGTAAAAAGTTTTCCATCAAGTCGTTATATTTGAACGTCATTTATACTAATGACCTTTGAAATTCTTCCTATTTACAATTTTAATTAATTAAAAATTAAGTTGTTAAATTATTAATTGTTTTAGATGTATACTTCTATACCTCTACATCTGAACCACCGTTAAGAATATTTGTTTCTCTCGTGTGTCAAAAATCAGACACAATCTATCTATTGATTTAAATTGTTCTATCTATAATTATAATTATAGAAACAAATAGATAATATCTATTTGTTAAATGAAATCTATAGTTATCCCGGAAATAATATTATTAATTTTAAACATATTTTTAATTTCAAATAATATTAGCCATGTAATCAATACTTCTTGTATAAATCATTTATTTACCATAAAAAATTATATTATATTATTTTATTTTAGGAAGTTTGCACAATTATGAAGTGTTTTTAGGTGGATCTTGCAATCCAACTACATGGCGAAAAGATGTAGCCATACCATTTTTATTAGAAGCTGGTATATCATTTTATAACCCAGTATGTATTTATGTCTTTGTATTTTGTATATTGAATAAATTTCTACGGGTATTTAAATATTAAAAATACTTTACTCCAAGAGTCACAAAAATATCCTTTGTAAAAAACCAACAATTCAACCAAGTTATCATAATCAGCACTAAATAAATAACTTAAGAACCTAGTATTTTCACATTTAATTAATATTTTTTTCATTTTTAAATAATTTTAGACACAATTATTATTAAATGAGTATTAGTTATAATTATAGCTAGTACCATAAAATTTTTCCAACCCAGGATTTATCAATGGGGTCTAAATATTGAAATAGTTTAGAAGACCGTTTTCTTATTTACTGAACACTCGATATATTGTTTTATCAATTACCAGTACTTGGGAAAAAGTTATTTTTAGAATCCCTGTATAATATTTCTCTTCATATTATAAATTTATTATTATGAGTATTTAGAAATTTTATTTTACATCTGTAACAATTATTTGAAATTAAATGATTAATTTTTTCTACATTTTTTTAAGTATTTAATAATATATTTTTTTAATATTCAATTATTTATTATGAGTACAATGAAAAAAGTATTTAATGTGTAAAACCTTCCTTCATTAAAAAATCTTGAGAACGCTATTCCCAATAATCATAATTCAACTAAAGAAATGTTTAATACAGTATCTATGATACACATATACAATTGTTCTAGACATTTGTTTAGATGCAAAGTTTTAACTTGGCCTGATAATCCTATTTTTTGTTTGGGTTGATACGAGTTTTAATATAATTAAAATATTTATAAGCAATGAAAATAATAAAGAATAATTATTTTCTTTATCTTTTATTTTTTTCTAGCAAGTTGACCATTGGAGTCAAGATCTGATTGAAATTGAATTTATGGCTAAAGAAAATGCATCTATATTATTTTATGTTATTGATAGACAAACCAGAAATGTAGTAAGTGCTATTGAAGCAGCCAATTTTGTTGGGTCTCAAAAAAATTTAGTTATGGTAATTCATCCACAAGACACAACTTCTCGTATAATAGTGGCAGGTGAACAAATATCATCATCAGAATCATGTGATATAGATGAAGCTTTAGCTATTATGTATAAAATTACTCACAAAGAAGGAATTTTGGTATTTGAAAATATACCTCAAGCTTTAAATAGAGTTGTTCAAGTAAATTTTTTTTATTTATGATAAAAAATGTTATGTACGGAAGAAATATATATATATTTTTATTATTTAGATTATACACAACAAAATCTCTGTAAATAATGATGTTACTGAAGAATGCACTATTAATCGGTAAAATTTTGCATTCATATAAATTTATTTAAGCAAATAATGTTCTTCAAAATTTATATGTTCATATTATTTTTTATTTCAGAAAAGTACAAGATGCATTCAATATGTTTGATACAAAATCAACAGGACAAATTAATATATTTGATGTATGTGGGTAGGGCTTGAATAATTGTTTAAACTATGTTTTTCTTAATTTTTAATACTGAGATTTAATTTTTTAATTATAGGTAAGAATGGCTATTCGATTACTGACTAATAAAAATCTTTCAGAGGATGAAATGTTGAAAGTGACACCTGAAAACAATGATTCTAAAGGTAAATTGCTTTTCAATTTTTTCAATGTTACTGAATTAATAAAACATGATTTAACTACAATTTATGTATTTACTATAGTTATTGATAAAAATCAATCATTCAATTTTGATCAATTTAAATTTATTGCTTTGAAGTATTTTCAATTACCAGATTCTAATATCAACAGAAATGTAGTTAATAATGGTATGATGCATTGTAAGATTTTAATGTTTAAAACACATATATTATATAATTCATTTTCAGGTTACATATATAATTCAAATATACCTAGATCATTGTCAGTACCACAAAGCTGGATTGATATAAGTATGTTAAAAACTACAGACATTTATTTAGCAGGAGATAGTGGTGATGATATTCGGTGGAAAGAAGATATTGCTATTCCTTTAATTAAGTGAGTAAAAGTAGAAACTATCCAGGATTTTTTAGAAGAAAATACATATAATTAGGGTAAAAAACAAAAGTTATTGCATTTGTTGTCAGTCAATTTGTCTGTAATATTTCTATTACTTTTAATTTTTTCAATACTTCAAAATATTTAATTATTACAGGAAAACAAATTTAACATATCAAACAGCTAAAATACCAGATCTTTCAGTATTACTAGATTCACGAACATTGCTGTTTGTAATTCCTTATAATTCCAGATCATTATCCACTATGATTTTGGTAAGCTATATTCTAAAATCTTATGTGACTTAAATGTTCATAAATATAGTTTTGCACTAAATGTCTTTTTTTTAGGCTGCATATTGTATTGGTAAAAGCTGCAGAACTGTATTATGTATTCAAAATCTCAATAAAGATAGTTGTACAATACATAATGAGAAGGTTTTAAATATTATTATATTAGGCATTTTATTATAAATATAATTTAATATGTAATTTAAGTTAAAAAAGTGAAAAAAACATGAAAAGAATATTTCTTGTAAGTTATTCATTTTTATCTACCATTGTCTAAACAGTCATTTTTTATATATTAACACAAATGATAGGGCTTATATCCCCTAAAAACATTAATTCAAAATTGATATTTTTTTCTGGTTTGGCTTAAGGGAATCTAGAAAAATTATTGTAAGGTGACGCCTACCCTTTTTTACTATTTCTAAATGAGTAAGACTTATTACTTTTAGAAGTGAATTTTTTTATCTATTTATTAATAAAAATAAAAAGTTTAAATAATAGTAAGTAACTAGTTTGGAATGGGGCCATTGCCCCTATAGTTCTCTCTTATGTCTATGATTGGGAAAATAAACACATTACTTTTTTCTTATTAAGTTAAAATCATTTTGATACATGTATATATGGTGCAAGTTGGTACAACTCATACTGGTGTCTATAATGATTACTCCACCCATGTTCCATATCCACTGTGTATTAAAATGCTTGTGACCTAACGAATACTTGTTTTAAAATTTATATAGTATAAAATTTCTAGTAAAAAAAAAAAGGCTAAAAATATACTTTAAACATAGTCTAAGAATGCAATATTTATAAAAAAAACAACAACATGATAATTGTATCAAAAGTTATAAGCGTTGTCAGTTAAGTCACCTGTATGTATATATAAACATTAACTTTTTCCTTGAACTAAGTTTTTATAATTTGAAGAATATTATAAAATATTTTCTTAAAAATTTTAATTGTTGAAATTAGTATAAAAATTTCTACAATTTTAATCAAAATACTACTCAAATATTTACTAAACCTTATTTTTTTAGTTAACGCAAACTGCTATAAATGATTATAACCGAGGAAGATTGTACCTAGCTGATTTAGCGTCACGTGAACAAGTGCCTGTATTTGAATCAATTGAAGAAGCAGTTGAGATTGCTATACATAAAACCTTATAAAATATATTAGTTTAACTGACAAAAATTTGTTATTTTATTTTATTATTGATATGTAACTAACCGATATAATCGAGCAAATTTAATTTTTACTTTTATTTATTGAAACTATTTTAAGTACCAATTGTTTCAATTTTTATCTAACTATTCAATTATAAAATAAAATGTTTAATATAAGTTAATTGTTATTTTTTAATTTAATTTTATTATTAAATACTGATTTAAGTTTTTCATAATGATTTTCTAATTATTACCTGTAATGAAATTTTTACTTAAAGAACTTATAACAATATTTTTGTACTGAATTGCTGTTGTATATTAAATAAAAACCACATTTAGATATTTTTATTTTTCAAATTACACTATAGCCTTTTAGAAGAATTAAATGGGTACCGACAAAATATTTTGGGATTACTTGAAGTAATACAGAAGGACTGATTTATTATTAACCACTAAATTTCTTTTAAAATAATTTAGAGACATTTTTGTTGCTAATTTAAGTAATATTTATTTTTTGATTTTTGAGTGGTTAAATATATATTTTTTAGGCCTTACCTCAATCCCTCAACAATATACTATCTTATCTGTTCAATAACAACTTTGCAACCAGTAATTTAAGAGCTATGAATATTTTTATACTTGTGTGATACATGACGTAATCCAATACGGGTACGGGCGCACGAGTCACGATACACCAAACTTCCAGACAACATATATAAATGTTAACTTATGAAATACTGGTTCAAGTTGTTATCAACCACTCATTTTCTATTAAATGAACTAGTTTAATATATATGTTGCAATTTAAAAGAATAAAGTTTATACACTTTTAAGGAATAAGGAACAGACCTAAAAAATATTTAACTATTTGAAAATCGAGAAATAAATTTAATTTAACGAAATAATAAAATTTTTTTAAAATTATTAGTACTTGGAGAGAAATTCAGTAGTCAATGATAAATCAATCTCCCTGTTTAAAACTATTTCAAGAAGTTAACCTTATAAATTAGTGAAAACCTATGGAAATTTAAAACTTACAAAATTACTATTTGTAATTTAGTATAAAAAAGATGTGATAACAAAAGTATTTTATTTTTTTCTAAAATAAATATTCATGCACTTGCATTAATTTTAAAAGAAAACATCCAAATTATTTTTAACAACTTTCTCATGTTTCTATTATTTAATCAAACTCTCCCCGAGTATTTTTCTCAACTTTTCAAACTGCCTTACAAAAATACTTAATAATAAAATTTATTTAAATTTATTAGTCACAAGACTTACAGGTTCAATAATTTTTTTTTTTTAGGAGATATTAATAAAATAACTATATTTAATGAAACTTATTTTGATGTTTTTTTAAGTATAATATTCTTGAAAAATGTTTTAAACATATATTGCATGTATATAATTTAGTAGTACTAAGACCTAGACCATGGTTATTACTCAAGTGGTTTTTTAAATTTTTCTTCTTTCTAAATCCTTTATTACAATGAGCACAAGTAAATAATGGATTTTCATGTATTTTGGAATGTAGCATAAATAATTCACGGTTTTTGAACATTTTTCCACAGAAATGGCAAATAAATGATTGAGCATTATGAAAAGATTTATGGTACCTGTAAGCATAATAATCAAATATAAGTATTCGAATAGAAAATAATAAAATAAATACCTAAGGTTTGATGGCTGAATGGTTGTATAATCACATTGATTACAACGAAACATAATATTTTTTTGATGGACAAGACGTATATGTCTACTTAATGAAGATTTAGTTGAAAAATCTTTTTTACAAGAATTACATGAATGAAGTTTTATAGATGAATGAGTATTTTCATGAATTTTCAGATTATGAGCATTGTGAGATTTATATCCACAAATTTGACAAGTGAATTGACCAATGTGAACATTTAGATGATTATCAAGAGTTTTTTTTTGTGTAAACCTTTTTAAGCATAAGTGACATTCAAATAGTTTTTCTCTGTGTATATTTTCATGAATACATAAGCGTTCTTCTGATAAAAATAATTTTCCACAAGATTTACAAACATAGTTTTTTGGGAAATCAACATGGACATTTGAGTCATGTAAAATAAGATCATTAAATTTTGTAAAAGATTCAGGACAAATTTTACAAGTATATTTATTATTATAGAATGAATGATACTTTGTCATTAACTTTAATCCTTTTGTAGTATTTTTAGATTTAGACTCATAATAAGTTTTCATTGATATGGCTTTAGGATTCCACCAACGTGTTTCTTTAAATTTATCATCATTTTTATGGGCAAAAAAATTGAAAGTTGTAGTGACACATGCTTCATTGGATTCAGTTCTGTTAGTTGACATATCTGGTGTTCCAACTTTTTTCATGTATTTTGGTAAAGGTGAATCCCTAGACATTTCACCTTCATTCCACTGTTGAGACATACTATTCCAGAGAGAATCATTTTCAAGTAATCCAATACTCAGGTCAGACATTTGAGATGGTGTGAAGCCAAGTGGACCTAGATTTGACATTTCACTATTAAACTAAAAAAGAAAAAAATTGTGTGGATATAAATTCAAGAAGTTTATATGAAGGGATTTAAGAAATAGACATAAAAAAAAAAAAATGTATTTTATTTTTTACAAATTTAGATGATAATATTAATATTTTTTATTATGATAGTTATTATTTAACGCTGTATTTACAAGTTATAACTTGTGCTAGAGAGGTTTCAAAACTTATATAATTTAACACAACCAACCAAATTGAACTCCAGTATATTCTTTTAGACATAATGCTATCCAGGCTGAACTTTGTTGTAATAATAATTTGTAATAACTTTAAGAATTTTTTGTTTTTGTTTATTAATTTAAGTAGTATTTATTTCTTCATTTTTGAGTGATTAAATACTTCATATGTCTATCCCTTGTCCTTTATAAAAATACCAACTTTATTTTTTATAACATATACAGAGTAAATTATTAGGGATAATATTGGAAAATATTGTTTGATTTTAAAAACTTTACAATAATATGTAGTTAAATAATAATAATAATTTTGTTTTCACCCATTCAAGGATAAGAAACCTTAACATTAATTTTCATAAATGATATCCACTATTTTTACTCTGATAATATGACAGAAAAAAATTTACAATCAATTATGTTCTTATAATTTTTTTTTAACTGATCCAATTAACCATTTGTCTCTTTCAACGTGTTGAAATCAAATATTTTTAAACTAAATTTCTATTGTTATTGTACAGTTTTGTATACAGAAGTCATTAATAACTATTAATAGTTGCATATTATTCCAAGTTTACAATCATACATTCTTAACCAGTGTGAATAATTTTTTTTTGATAATTACTGTAAAAATAATTTATGTTCCATTGAAATATATAGTTGTTCCCTCCAGTATTACAAAAACCAATTTATTAATAATATTTTATTTTGAATTCAAATCTTAAAAAAAAAAAATGGTTTATTGGATAACTAAAATTGTTTGTAAAATTTTTTTCTATCATATTATCAAGGTAAAAATAGTGATTTTTATTTACAAAATTAAATTTAAGGTTTTTTAACACTAAAGGGATGCAAAAAACATTGCATTTCACACAACTTATTGTAGAGTATTTTGAGCCTAATAAAATTTTTCTCTTTACAGAAGTTTTAATTTTCAATAGTTTTTAAGAAATTGAGTGTACGAGGTTTCAATCACTCTGCAAGTTTAAATACAATTTGTATGTTAACCAGTGATTTTACAACTACCCAAATTGTGACTAAAATATTTATTGTAAAATACATATTCAAAATGTATGCCAAAAAATTCTATTGAAATAAAAAAAAAAAAATTATATAAACAGTATACGAGTCAAATTTTGTCAAGCTGTCTAACTAAAATTTGTTATACAATATTTTAAAGTAAAATATATTACATAAATATACTAACTTCAAGTTCAGTTTCTATTCCATCATGAATATATTGTTGCAAAAAAGCATTCGTATTATCACACAATATTTTAAATTTATTCCAAGAATCTAAACTTAATATACAGCTAGCACAAACATTAGTTGGTTCATCTCCCCTTAATGATACCTATAAGTTAAAAAAAATATTTTAATGAGTCATCCCTACAATTTTTTATTCTTATGTCAATAGTTTTGACCTCTATTTGAACACATTTTTTAATAATATCTTCAAGCTCATGTCGCTCAAAAATGGATGTCATCTTACTATGGCCATCATCTTCTCTAAAACATAATCGACATACTTTTTCTACATCAACTACTGGAGGCATTTCTAAAAAAATTTATATTATCTTTATAAATTGATCAATCAGTAAAAAATAGCACACATACTCTTTAGTTTCCATACATTTTTAAATAAATTTATTACAAACTTTTAGATCAATTAGCTTTTAATTAACTTTAAAATTTAGTGTCCAAACTTAAATTATTTAATTTCAGTAAAACTCAAATACTAAAGAAGTTAGACTACACTAAGACAATAAAGTTTATAATTTCATTTGTCGAAGAAAAGATAATTTTCATAATGTAATAAAATAAAACTAAATTGATGTTGGGTATATTTATGTTTAGAGAAATAAAAATTAAAATAAAATGATAAGTTATCAAAAAATATATCATTTTGTACTTAAATATTATAAATTATTCTTTTTAATAAACAAGCGTTTCCGTAGTGTAGTGGTTATCACGTGTGCTTCACACGCACAAGGTCCCCGGTTCGATCCCGGGCGGAAACATTATTTATCTTGATTTTATTTCGATGGAACATGATTGCTTTTAATCTTGTTTTCATAGCAAGACTTTGGTTTAGAATCTTTTTTTCATAAGATAACTATAAAAAAAAGTTTTTATTTCAATATTAAAATAAACATCTCATTAATTTTCGAAAATAGGTTAATTATCATTGTCACTCTAAGAAGTCAGGGGTCTATCAAAATTTTAAGAAGGCTCTAGTCCCCTCTAAAATATACCTCGATTCAACACGGATCGTCTAAGCAAATATGAAATTTAAAAATAAATTCCAAGCTTCAATTAATAATAATGCGCATGTACTATATTTTTAAAGCTAACCATATGATTTGAACACATGTAAAAATTGTTTGTAAATTTACTATGTCTCAGATCATATATACATACAGTTTTTTAAAAGATTAAATATTTATATATTTTATTAAGAAAATCTCCAAGTTAATATTTTTAAATTATGAAATAAAAAGGAAACTATAAGTTGTATGGAAAAGTCTACAACAATTTTAAAATTCAGAATAATTTAATCAAGAGGCGTGAAAAAATTTAATTAATTACTATTCTTTATGATGAAGACTAAATATTACTTTAGAAGGAGAGATTGTAAAGTATATGTTTAGATTATATAATTCATAATTAATTGAGCGCTATTATACGTGGGAGAAAGTTATTATGGCGTGTATCTGAAAAACTTAAATTACTTACTAAAAACTCTGTAGATAAATAAAAAAATTAAATTATCATATTTACATATAAATATAAACTTATGATTTATTTTACATCGCTTATTTTACTTTAAGGGTCGTTTTTTCATATTAGAATAATCATAGGATGTTAATTAGATATAAATTTGAAGAACACAGTTAATCCGGAATATTTTCAAAAATTGAAAATAAAAAATTGTTTTATACATGCGTGGGTGGTCCCTTTCAAACTCATCATGGACTTAGGGTTTTCAATGGATTTTTATGAAAAACATACCAAAAATAGTGTTTATTGGTTAACAATATAAAACTTATAGATTTTATGCCACAAAATAAACAGAATGGACATTTATAAAATTTATATGTTCAATAGGGAAGTAATTAGGATCAGTTCGCCATTTTTATGTAGGTATACCAGTGTGTCCACATTTTATAATTTTAATCAAGATATTTGTTTTTAACGTGTTCCCATTTTTATAAATATTAAAGTATTTAAATAATATAATAATACGATAATAGTTAAATAAAAAAAAAAACAATAAATGATTGATGTTCAATTGACTTTTATATTTTTTAATTCTTCATACATATTTTACTTTCAATAATTTGTTCTATTATGCCTTTGACACATAAACACATAAAAAGACAAAAATAGAATCAATAAACATAATAATATAATTACAAAATCAACATACAAATTCATCACATAAATTATACAATAAATTAAATACAATAAAAAAATAACTTTTTTAAATGAACTCAATTGTGTAAATGTATTTTATAAGTGTGTTAGTATAATCAAGTTTTCTTAGTTTTAGTTCTTTTTAGTTCTTTAGTACAGCAATACCTTTGAGGTTTCTTTTGAGCAAGATTAACAAAATTTTTTACAATTAATGATAAATTAGGAGATAAATATATGTCACACATTTCATAAAAATGATTAACCGAATTTAAGTTGGATACTTGTTCATTTAAAAACTTAACCTGTTTCTGAAGTTCAGCACATTTTTGTTTTACAAATTTTACTTCATCTTCCAATTTATTTTTCATGGGAGTATGTATAAAGAGCAACTGAGGAGTTTGGGTTGATGATGAAGAAGCTGTGCTGTTCTGAATTTCATACTCTTTCAACATGGAAATGCCAGAAAAATTGCCTAAAAATATTTAAAATTCATTTTTGATTAAAGAATGGTCCTTGTTTTTAACTAATATTAGAACATTTATCTCTATTAAAATCATGATAATCAACTATTTATAATTAAGTTAAGTTCCTAATGCTAAAAAAATTTCATGTTCTTGAATTTTTTTTAATATAATGAGAAACTAAAAATGAAAACTTTTATATTTTACATTTTAGAAGACATGACAAGTTTGATGGAGAGATAATCCCTTTATATACATTAAGTGCATCTTGTAAATCAGTATTATCAATTATATAATTTCAAAATAGTTTAAAATCAATTTAAGTAATAAAACATTATATGTCTGATTAACACTTACAAATCTTTGTAGGGACAGCATTAGGAAGAAGTCTAGACTTCTCTGGGTTTGAAAACATATTAGTTTTGAAGTGAACATTACAAACTGTATAATATTTATTCAGAGTATCAATTGATTTGTCTAACAAATCATCTCTGCCACAATTATGTAACCATTCTTTATATCTAATAAAAAAAATTAAGATTTATTAATATATAAATATTAATTTGTTATTCCACAATAAAAAAAATCTAACCTAGGAAAATCTTTTGGTATTTTAAACATTTTACAATCTTCGTTTTTAGTGGCAATTTTTGAGTTGTTGCAGTTTTTTGCAATACACAAATAAACCATTTCACTAATTATTAAATAAAAGATGATTGCAAATAAATAAAATAACCATTAAAAAATAAAATAGTGAAATAAACTGATCACAAGTACAAAAACTATTATAGATATTTTCACTCAATCAGCAATAGTTCTTATCACGATTACAAAAATTTTAATATCAATACCTACAATAAAATGGCTTCCGCTTTATACAAATATATCGAAGTGTCAATACATCAAAATTTTTTTATATCTGAAAACCGTCAATTTGAAACTAAACAAATTGATTCATTTTTATTCATTTTAGGGGATTTTTAAAAGCAATTAAGTTTTTTATTAAAATAATTAGTTAAATCATTGCAGCGGCAAATGTTTCATTTAATATTTGAGCTCTTATCGGATAGTCAGCGCTCCTAGTGATGTATACATTTTAATTAGACGATAAGCGGAGTGTTATAATCTACTGAATCTACCTTGACAAGAATACTGAATTTTATCACTAAGTGATAACTCTTGTAAAAGTGTCCTTCATTTATCGTTTTCTGTGAATTGAAACCGACTTTTACAGTAAGTTGTTTATTTTAATTATTTTAATTTGATTATGACTAATTATTTTTGTAATATTTTATGTAGAGAACAAAAATAAAAAAAAAGATGACAACTGCTGAAAATATTAAACAAGATTTGCCACCTAAAGGTGGTTATAGACCTATATCGTTTGCTCGTGTCTTTCCTAAACCTTTTGCTAGCAGTAAGTGAATGTTTTTTAATTATTGTATGCTACTGTCCTAGTAAAAAAGTCATATACACAGTAACTAAACTCTTCAGGACATATTATTATATTTTTTGCAATTTTATTTAGATTTATTAAATTAAGAGTATAAGAGTGTTATATATAAAAATTTGTGATATTTGACATTTTTATATAATTCCATTTTGATTATTATTCTCAATATAGATATGCTAGAAACTTGCATAAAAGTTGATTTGAACTTGGTATAAATGCTAAAAACAAAGTAACATATAATATAACCCTTATGGAAGGTTGAAACTTTGAAACTATTCATCTTAAAATAACTTTTTTCAATATATGGCTCTTTTGCGCTCACAGTATGAATTAAAGTGTTGAAATTTTGAAAATATGACCAATAAAATTTAAAAAAAATAAAAAGAAAAGCTACTAAAAAATGTCTAACATACAAAGACTTAATAACTTATAAATCAATGAATTCATGATAATAAAGTAATTGAAAAAAAAAATTATTTATTATTATATTATGAGTCAGTTGTGCAAAAGAGTGGTGTTATTGACGAGGATGTAAGACATAGAATTAAGTGCGAATGGTTGAAGTGGAGAGAAGCGTCTGACGTCTTATGCGATAAAAGAATTCCAATGAGGCCAAAGGAAAATTCTACAATACTGTAGTGAAGCCAGCTATGATGTATGGTTCAGAGTGTTGGGAGGTTGATAAGAAAGTAGAGCAGAGAATGAGTGTAGCAGAGATGAGAATACATAAATGAATGTGTCAAGAGACTAGAGAAGATAGGATAAATTACGAACATATAAGAGGGAGTATAGGTGTAGTGTCAATTGTAGATAAGATGAGAGAAAATACACTTAGATGGTTTGGTCATGTTATGAGGGGAGAGGAATCAGAAGCTGTAAGAGCAGTTATGATAATGAATATTGAGGGAAGAAGAGGTAGAGAAAGACCAAAAGAGATATGGAGAGATGTTGTGGAATACAATATGAAGACAGCTGGTGTGAGCGTAGATGATGTGGGAGATCGTGTTTAGTGGAAGTTTAGGATAGGGTGGCCGATCCCAAGTAGTTGGGATAAAGGCGAGGAAGAAGAAGAAGATTATTATATTATGAGTACTTGAGTGAACAATGATGAATCTATCACTAATACAGAGTGAGTCATAAAAATATAATAAATCCAGTAACATTTTTAAATAATAATAACTTTGCTAGGATTTTTTTATAAAATATTTTGACATTGTAAAGTATATATTTTATTATTTTTTCTTATAAAAAAAAAAAAAATTACTTTTTATTTTACTATAGCCATTTTTTAGCATTTTTCTTATAAATATGTTTGATGGTTTGATAACAATTTTAAGATATGTATTTATTAAGATACAATAATTTTATTACATCAAGTAGGAATGTAGTCATTTGGGTACAGCTCGTACTGGTATATGTGCAACCCTTCTGTGTTTCATACCCATTTTGTGTATCAAAATGCTTGTAACTTAGGCACTTATCTTCAAATTGTTATAATTCCATAAAAATATTTTATTAGAGAAAAACTAAAAAATGGCTATTTTGAAATTTCAAAAAAATTAAGAAATAAAAATTTTTTTTTATTTAAGATAAATAATTAAAAATATGCTTTAACATTGTCTAAAATTGTAAAAATTATTAAAAAAATATAGTAACACAAATATTTACTGAATTAAAAGTTATTAAAGATGTCAGAACATGATAGGATACTGTATATCTATATATATATTTATGTATAGAACTCTACAAATGTTTTGTTTCTAATTTATATATCACCTAATAAAGTTATGGTAGGTTAGGTTTTTCCTAATAAGTTATGTGTATCTCAAAAAAAAAAAAATTTGGTTTCAATATAATTTTTTTAAATTATAAAACAAATTTTTTTAAAGCTAGAGCTATGGTTGCTACATATGTGGCTTGTAGTGGAATAGGATGGTATTTGTATTTATTAAATGACAAGCAGATTGATAAGTATCAAGTAGAAAATCGCAGTGCTCTGATAGCCTTAACACCTCTTTTAGATGCTGAAGCAGACCGAGAGTAATTATGCAATATTAATAAATACTTTGAAGAAAATTAATATCTATTGGATCTGGTTTAGGTATCTAAAACAATTAAGAAGAAATCGGGAAGCCGAAGAAGAATTAATGAAAAATGTGAAGGGTTGGAAAACAGGAACTTTATATGGTGAACCAGTATATAAGACAGTGGGAGACAAGTTAATACCACCAAGTTACAATGAATATTACATGCATAGCCCTGATGATGTATTATTGGATAGAGCATATTGGCATAAATATTTGTGAAAGAGTATGTAAAAATATCTATCCTTAAATAATTAATAATTCATTATAAATTATTATTATACTAAAAATTTTATAATATAAAAATAAATGTAGTTTACAAAATTATCAGTTTGTGACATTAATTAAATTAATTTTTAATTATGTTTAGACTTTTAAAAGGTTGACTAAAAAAATATTTCCTAAAAGAAAAGTGTTCCAATAAATTTAAAGAATCTTTTAAAATCATAACATTATTACTTTACATTTCATATCCAACAATAGTTAACCATAGTGAATTTTCTTTATCCATGTAAATCCTCTATTTATTTCAAAACTATAATTTTAAATACATACATAATTGTTCAACTGTTAGTTATATGTAAAGCCTAGATAGATAATATCATGCTTGGCAAAAAAAAAATTAAAAAATCAATTATATATCTAATTTAATTAAAACAATACTAGTAAAATATAAAAAAAATAATAGTATATTTTTATAAAATAAGAAATATTAATCAATATTATTATTCAAAATTACAGATATTTTTTTTTATTATTTAACCAAATCATCAATCTCGTATATGAATTCTCCTCAATGGAGTAGGTCAAAATGTACATTTATGTTCTGTGACCAACAAAAATTATTAACTATGACAACATTAAAAATAATTAAAACAAAATAAAAATTAATATATTTATTATTTGGCGATCAGTAGTATAGTAATAACATTTTTTTTTGTATAATTCTTAAAACTCAAATAATTCATTGTATATGCACTTGTCTAAAAACTCATAAGTGTAGTTAAAAAGATAAAAAGTAATTTTTACAAAAAAAAAAAAATTTCCCCACAGTACTTATATCAAATGTCAGAAATGGTCTTTTACATATATTTTATAATTATATAGTATATTGTTTTATTTATTCTGAAGTGTAAAAAGTTAAACTTTTTATGCACAATCACATTAAATGGACATATTTGAATAATTCAAGTTAAATGCTAGTGTAGATAATCATAGTTAGAACTTAATCAATGTATACTATTTTTGTATACATTTGTATTTTACTGTAAAATTAAACAATGTTAATTCTGTATCATTATTATTATATGATTATTTATTTTATAGGTGTCTTCTATGCTCAAATATTATAAATACAGAAAAAAATCTTTGTCAATAATACTGTAAACTAATTTAGTCAAAATAATAAACATTTATTGTGCTAGTTTTTACATTGTTGATTATTTTTGTCTGTCTCAAGTTACTACATCAAATTAAATTTATTGAATAAAATTATTTTATTGTTCATTCTATTCATATTTATATTAAATAAAATGATACTTATGAACTATGTAACACTCATATACAGTGTTCTGTAAGTAATGAATCGTGACAATTGTTATAAACAATGAGAACAATAGAAATCCATTTCTTTACTTACTGTACACTATATAATATTACTGTGTTGTTACTTAAATAATGATTTAAAATTAATATCTGCTAGTAGGAAAGAGATTAGTAACAAATGATCATTTTTTAAGAGTTGTTACTAAGAATTTTCTATTTATTAATTTAGTACTAATTTTTAATATATTTTAAAAATCAGAAATGGTGGTGATATAGCATTATAGTACTGAGATAGTCTACTAAAAAATTGATTTTTAATTGAGTATAACAATATAGACTTGTTATACATTATACTATAGCAATCTATTCATTTTATAATTGATTTAAAAATTACATAAAATTAATGAATTTTAAACCATGGTTGACACAATATAATAGTCATAAACATTTATTGGGTTTCATATAATGTTATTATACGACACAACAAAACAATTGTATACTCTTTAATGCTAAGTGCCTTAACTTTAACGATAAATTAATCATTATATTTTACTTTACAATTCAAAACTATTAATAAACTGATTGCGACTAAGCAACAACTATAGACATATAAATAAATATACTAGGAATGATTAGAGCTTGATTTGTAAAGCTAACTGAGCAAGGTTGATTAATTAATGAATACATCTTAAGAATGACTATATAAAAGATTATATATGAACTACAATTTTGAAAATTAAACTTGGTCGCCAAAAATAGGAGCATCATTATTTTAGAAATTGATTTGCACGGATAAAATTTTATGTATGCAACTACTTTAGAAGTAGCATAAATAAAAGTTCGTATAAAAATCTATATTTTAGAGATATGGATAAAATTAAAAAATGACGCCTCCCAATAATATTTTGAATACTTTGGTATGAAACAATTTTTCTTTTCGCTCTTCGAAAATCCAACCCAACCTAGTAGAACATAGAACTAAAATGCTATGCTATTTATTTAAACTTACAATAGACAGTTCTAAAACAAAATGTCATATATTATGATCTATTAATTTGATTTCAATAAATGTTACATTATTTTTAACATTTTAATGCAGATTTTTGTAGAGTAATAAATGTACAATTAATAATATTAAAAATAAAAAAAATGATGATCTAAAGGATTAGTTTATGTATGATGGCTGGTCACTAAGAATCTATTATCAGAGTCAAGATTGATATTGTTTATCAATCTCGATGATTATCAGGTAACGTAATTTTCTGATCTTTAGTGTTGGCGAACCTGAAACCTGAGGAATGCGTTTATACAGCCTCCAACAGAGATAAATATGAAAATTATAACTAATCAATAATTTTGTAAACAAAAGGATTCTTCTCATGTGTATGATAAATAAACGAATATTATTTAAATGTTTTAAATTTTTGTGAAGTGTTAATTTGCCGACTTTATATACTAATACTTTATTATTTTTGATGCGGTTAATTTTTTTAGTTATTGAACAATATTGAACGTTTTCATCATTTTCAACAAAAGTAATAAATGAAAACATTTGACTTGAATTTAATATAAACTTAAAATATAAAGTATTTTTTTTAATTCTTTGCTAGTTAGATCAAGAGTTTTAATTGAAGAAATTAAAAAGCATAAAGCTGGCTGGAACTTTAGAAGAAAAGTCTGATCTGGAGGGGAATACTCCTACCTCTCCAAATCAAATTCCTGTTTTGGATCATTCAGGTAGTTATTTTGCTTATATTTAATCAATAATACTCAGAAACTAATTACTTTGAACATAATATATTGTTAAAGATATTATGGCTTTGTTTTTAACTTGTGTGGTCAATTGTATTTACAATTATTTTATTAAAATTTAATATTTACAGGTTCATTATTTTCAAATATTAAGTAAACTTTGTATCTATGTAATTTTTGTACAAGGTGAAATAGATTTAGGGGAAAAATGATGTAATTAAAAAAACTTTTACCTATTTAGTTTGAACACAGTTGAACAAATATAGTATTTAATAAATAATACATTCAACTGCTGTTAAATAGTAGTAGTCAGTAAAATAGAAGACCTATATTCCTAATATAAAACAAAAAATATATGTACTTATATAGTGAAGCTCCTACAATATGCATTTCAATATTTTAGCATTGATGCGAATCTGAAAAGGTATTTAAACAATGTTTTTTTTATTTGTTTCTATCCATACCAGTGCTTAGCTTACACTTGGCCAATTTAGATAATTTATACGTCAAAAATTAAAAAAACCACTCCATTTTAGAAAAGTATTTCAAAATTAAATAGTCGTAAAAATGTGAATAATTTTTTAGTCAATTTTAAAATTACAATAACATATTGTTAAAAATTTGGATTTATATAAAATTTTAATTCAATATATTAAAGACAATAAGCTATGTTTTGATATGTTATACATGAAAAACCAAAGAGACCAACTACTCATGTATTTTTTAGAAATAAAAACTAAGTCTAACTATGTTAAATTTATATAAAAAATAATTATCTTAGTGATTCTCAGTAACAGTGTAATCAAATGTTCAAGTTAATAAGAACTTTCATTTTGAATCTTTGAGTGTTAAAATTATTTTAAGCTGTTTATTTTTGGTCTACTTTGAACTTATTTTAAACATTTAACTATAATTTCATTGAATTATATTTTATCTTCACCATTTTTGAAGTATAAGATTTTGATTTCTGTCAACCAAAAAAATTTTTTTTATTAATTTTTTATTTATCCCTAGTCTACCATAATTGTATAATTATCATTATCATACAGAATTTAATTTCCCAGAGATTAATTATGATTGTAACTGTTAAAGAAAAAACATCATTGAGCAATTGGTTAGAGATGTACTTAGAGGAAATTCATAGGGATAGTAGTTCTATTAAACATCTCGGGGTTCATACTCAATTTAAAGAGTAAAAATCTCAAAGTTCAGGACCAGATACAAGTATTAAGATCCTTGTATATTTATTTTCACACTAAAATTTGTGATATCTAGAACCGTATTTGCTATTAATATAGATTCAGGATGCCAACGTATTAAAATGGACTTACTTATAGCAAGTATAAATTTAGTTGTTGAAGTATTGGTTAATGTAATGTTTTTGAAAAAATTAAATACCATTTAACATTATTCTAAGTATGTTTTGTACATTTTAGGCTTTTAATTTTGAGAAATTTAGTTACATTATTAAAGAAAAAGTAGTGTAATTTTGGTAAAATTTACATAAAGCTTGCTAAACCTTTTCTTGCTATAAAGAAGTTGAAAATAATAAAGAAAATTGACCATGAAACTGTATTATAATCCAGTTATTTGATAGCTGCTGGATGATTCCATTATAGAAATCATTTTACTGAAAATATTTTGATTTTAAACAGTTAAAAAGTCGGAGATTGTTAGCAGATTGCAAAAAAAAAAATGGCTTCATTAAATTTGTTTTATTTCATAGTTTATATTTCTAAAAAGTTTATGTTATAATATTTTTTATTAACTGAGCCAGCAACAACCATACTAGCTTAACTTAGCCTTATTGGTTTAAAATAATACTACTGTTTCTTAATAGTTAATTAATGGAGGCCCATTAAAAAATATTTTATGTATACATTTTGTATTTCAATAGTTTATTAGTATATATTAATTTCTCGTCACTACTTAGTCAACTAAATCTCATATCCAAAGATTATATCTAAATGACGGTCGTAGATCTAGGTAGTACATTGTCCACGTATGGTGTTTTTTTGGAGATACGTGGTATTGAACTGATAACAATGGATCACTGATAGAACCCAGTTCTATCCGTTAATTGAGCTGAAAACGCTGTTTTTAGTGAAATTTGTGGTTATTGAGTTATATATCATATACTTATATATATATATATATATATTTATGTATTATTTCATGTACAATTTTCATAATAGCAGCGCTTTTGCGGACATCTTAAATATTTTCGGCTAAATAAGCGGAAATATAGTAATAGTGAATGGGGTGTAGAGCACGCAGACCTTATCTTCATTATTAATGATAATGTAATATTTTACTGATAAAGGGGTGGAAGAAGAAATTAATATAGGAAAGCGCGCGCTCTGACCTACGTATTGTTGCGCATGCGTTGAATCGTCGTCCGTTTGGCTGAATTTAAATACTTTCTTGACAATACAGTCTGTAAAACGTTGGACCGTCTTCAGTTACGTTTTTTTATTTGAGTAGTAGTGTGATCTTTGTTTGTATATTTACGTGTGTGTAGTATCGGTGTATAAAAATTGTACCTGGTACACGTGTATTTTCGTTTATTATTCTCATTAAGTTTAATTTTGAAATCTTATTGCATCTGCAAAATATGTAGAAGAACTTTTATAATTTAATTATAATCATTTATTTTAAATAATGATGTTCGCTCTAGTACAACTCTTATAAAATTAAAAAGTAATTTATTTAAGTGGTTAAAAACAATAATTTTATGCTTATTAAGTTATAGGTAACGGATTTTTCTTATATTTTTTAACTGTTCTATTGAAGTCTTTCGCTATGTATTTTATTAGTTATGTCTCAAGAGACTTAATTATTGATATTTTTACTTAAAGCAAGATTAGTATTTATTCTTAAATAATATATTAAATAGAATATATTAATTAAAATTTATATTACAAAAAAAATCTAGTAAGCATTTAAATTTCTATAATTTATATTATAATTATGTTTCCATTAAAATTAAATTTTAATGTTATATAATTCACAAGATATATTCCTAGTATATCAGAAATTTAATTGAAGAAAAATTTAATACTAGTTTTTATAAATTTCTTTATAAAAACAAAATAAAATGTATGTTCCTAAGATTGATGCGTTAATTTTGATGTTCTGTTTGTTAATTAAAATGAAAAATTGCAAAAAAAAAATGTTTTTTTTTTATTTGGATTTTATTACTCATGATTTGAATGGAAATATATATATATATAGAGAGAGAGAGTTATATTTTTGAATTTTATATAAGATATAAATTTTGCTGAATGTTTCGAATGATAATTGTCTTTTTTTTCTTATTCATTTGTTGTATAAAATGATTTCAGCGATAAAAAAAAAATCGTTTACTTGTTCATTACAATAGGCATGACGAATGCAAAATGCAAAAGAACTCTTTGATATTTTCTCTTGGATAAAATAGCTTCTAGTGTTAGTAGCATCTTTGTTTCCGGTGCGATGAACTCGTATATTATTTCCTCGAATAATGACAATTTTTAAAATCTCTGACGCTTAAACGGTTTCATTTACTATTTTTATATTTTTGCAAGACTAGATTTAAATTAATTTTAATGTTTAAAAATTGTAATTGTATTATACAACTTAAGCATATCATGTAATATTATGAATTTCTAAAGAATTAATAATAAAATATAAATATATGTAAATTAGCGTCAAATTATTTTGTATATGAGGGGATAAAGAAAAATTTAATTTATTTACGGTTAGGTCGGAAAAAACCCGGTTTCAGTATTATTGTGTTTATTTAAGTAGTTCATTTTAGTTAAAAATTTGAATCAACTTCTATCTTGCTACAAAATTTTATTACTGTATTTTACACCTGGTGGATGTATAGCATGACTGCCTAATTGTGTCATAGTGGAATTATTGAGTTAGTATATCATTCAACTAACGAATCGAAAGAAAAAATACCCCATTGTCGTACTGCTCTGCGTGTTAGTTCTTCTTTTGAACCGTCGCACAAGACTTGTTCACGATCTCTGTGGGTAACATAAATGTCGATACGCTCTCTTTTACTCCGGTTCAAATCTATGGATAACATTAGCACGAATTATGTATCTACTTTTATTAAATCTTTTCTTATCACGATAACTCACCGAATACTAGTGTACTAGATATATAGAGTGTTCAGTAAGTAAGTAAATGGGTTCTATTGATTTTATTGTTTATAACAATTGACCTGTTTCCATACTTACTGAACACCCTGTATATGTATTTTAAAAATATTTTTAGTTTTATTTTATCTATTAAATCGTGTGTATATTATTTTGTTGCGGAATCTTAGACACCGAGTAAATGTTTCTTGTTAGTAGGCCATGGTCAGTTAATGTATACTTACTCTCTAACGATTACTTAAGGGCTATTATTATGTGAGGTAAATTTGTTTAAAAATATTGTATAACAATTTACCCACAAAATATAGTTGAACTAGCAAATTCAAAGTACATGTTTTCTTGAAAATTTAGCTGTAACGCATATATTACTTAATATTGTTGCGCTTATTTCAATCTTACTTTGTTTACTTACCATTAGTAGTAACGGTTTACCACTTATTGATAGGCATGTAAGATTGCCATCAATATATTTTTAAACATACTTATTTTTCAATTTACCGTTACGTTGCGTATAAACATAAAAATATAACTCGTCCTATAATTTCATCTCTTTTCGTTCATATTTTTCGTCATTTATTGTTTTTGTTTGTCTGAACGTTGTAGAAATGTATTGTTATATTAACATGATTCGCAGTAATTTGTAAATTGTATCTGTAAATGAGTTAACTAATTACAAAAAACTTTTAAAATTTTCAAGGAAAAAAGACTTGTAGAGAGTCTATGTCAGAAGTAAATTGATTCATATTGAATTTTAATCTATGTCAAATTTGACATAGATTAAAACAAAAGTATACAATTTTAACTGTTGTAATTCATCCTATTAAATTTTTAGCTCTTAAATATAAGCTCGTTCAAATGTATTTTACTAAATTATTAAGTATATCGAATACATATTTTTCTTGTTCTTCTTTTTTTATGGTGTTTAGTCAATATCATCATCTTCAATAGTATCTCAGTATAGTAAATAGTAATTTGTAAAAATACCAACTTTCATTAATTATTTATTAGTATAATATTTTTATTAGCTTTTTTTCCACTCGCAATCAATTGAATAAGCGATATATTTCAAGTTGTTTCGTTTACACATCCTTAACGTTTTCAATGTAATTTTAATTTGTCCTTGGTTATTATTTTTTTTTTTATATAACTAGAGCGTATGTATTTATTGTAGTTTTCTATTTTTGTGCCTATTCATTACTTTTAAAAGTTTGTTGTTAAGTCGTGTATCAACCTACACGTTGGTTATGAGAGGTCATTTATTTGAAGAAAACGATTGTAGGTATAGCTTTAAGATAAACGTTAGAGGTAATTGTCGTTTGTTTCAAAAGAAAAAAGAATGTTCCGATCCAGTTGTCGTTGTATTCTCAACCATAACAGGAATAACGGTAATGACCGCGAAATGTCATTGACGTAACTTCAATTGCATATGTTTTGTAAAGTTTTTTGGTCTAAACAAACTATTGAAACAAACACATTAAAAATGTAGTTTTTAGTTGTATACATTTTTTAAATAGTATGTATTTTTAATCATATAGCTAAAGACTTCACTGAACTGTAAAATATTTTTGTGTTTGAGTATTTAATTGATACTGTATACTGAGTCATAAAATTACCAATACGTATTTGTTAAAATTTAATTTTTTTTTATATATAAATATATTAAGAATTTTCTAGAAATTTTACTATCTATCACAGATTTGATGATTGAGCCAATCAACATTATCTACTCAATATCAAATTTAGGAAACATATATATGATTTAATGTTAATAAAAAAAAATTCAATTTAATTACCGTGTTTCGAAATACTCTAAAATAATTTATCATTGACAAAGTTTAGTTTTCTTTGGTAGTTAAGATCTTTAGGTCATTATACAGGCCTGGATTAAGACTTATTGGGGCTATAATATTATTTTGATAGTTTTTTCCCTCATTTGATATAATTTGAGATCCTAAAACTCAAAGCGTGTGTCAAGCTGAGCGTGTCCTCAAGCTTACATGTTCTGAATTAACTGAATTTTGGCTGAAATTGTATTAAACTATAAGGAAATCTAAACTTTTATCTGTATTATTTTTAAAAATTAAATGATTAATTTAATAGTGTATTAATACATTTTTATTTACAAAATCAATAAAAAATTTAATATGTAGATTCTTAAAAAAACCCATTCCACATTTTTTAAAGTATTTTAATTTTAAATATAAGTTATTTTGTATTAATTAACTAGTTAATTTTATTTTTATCAGATATAAGCATATTTTGAAAGTCGTGCCAAATATTTACAATAGGAAAATTATTGATAAGTTTTTTTCTTCTATAACATATACGTAATGGTTGTTTTGACACTATTTATTGTGATGAGTTTATTATTAAAATAACTTTAAGTTGAAATTCAGGCGGTTGATTACTTGGTTATATTAATTATTACAGATTATGTAGGCTCAATAGTGAATTTTTTTTTTTGGATTTAAATACAAAACATTTTAAATATGTCGCCGTATAGTAGAGAACATCATACTGCTATAGTAGCTCCCGTATCTACCGCCTCGCCTATTATTGAAGAATTCGGGAAAAGAAATGATATTTGTGGTTTACCAACATCTTTTCAACAACACAATAAATATCCCCAAGAGTCCGGAAAACCTGGTTCAGGATATTCTACTGGTTTTTCAGTGCTTCGACGTTTACTTCGATGGTGGTTGGCTAGATTTGGCCAAAAACCATTAGGCAAAAAAGGTATGTTGGTATATTTTAAGAAAAACTTATATATAGTATTCCTTTAATATATTTGTAATTTCATTCTTATTTTTGGGATAAAACAATTATTTTTTATAACTATAAATTCTTATATGTTAATCATATAATTGTGGGGCTGAGTGCAATTTAAAATATTAGGACACTAAACATGGACTTGAATTGTAAAATAACTGTTATAAGTTAAAAAAAAATTTTATTTTTCTTATTTTTGAGGACTTCACTTTTGAGTAAGTCCATTACAGTTGTACCAAATGTTTATCCATTGTACTATATGACCGTGTTGTTAGTGCTTACAATTTACGGGTTGTGTGTATAGGCTAGCATAAAAGTAAACTATATTCAAATAATTTTAATAATTTGAACTTATTTTTAGATTAGCAATACTTATACTATTAATAAGTTAAAATAACTTATTCCATGAAAATTGTCTTCGCTTGAATGATCACTTACAATTGAATTCAAAAATTCTATAGATAGAAGAAAGTAGATATCCTTTGTATTTATTCATCACATGTCAAAACATGTTTTGTTCAAAATAATAGGATATTTGATACAATTCAATTTTTAAAACAAATTTAATATTAATTAATATCATTTTATTATTTCAACAGAAAACACAAATAATGTAAAATATTGATTAGGTTTGTAACTTTTCCATGAAAATTGTTTACACTTTAATGAGCAACTGCAATTGAACTATATTTATTTTTAAATTTCTCTAATCGTAACGTTAAAAATTATTAAAAAATATTAACGTTTAATATTGACTAGGTTAAAAGTTATTAATAATGCCAGAACATGGAGGGACACACTCTATGTTGTATATAAATATTTGGTTATGTGATAGTATTTTACCTTATTAATAGTATAAGTATTATTGTAAGGTAAACCGAAAATAGGTAATAAGGAAGATTACCAATCTAGAAATAGGTTGTTACACTGTCATGCAATCTTATTAGAAATAGAAAAAAATAATGTTTTTTTTTTAAAATTATTCTTCTTACTGTTCTTCCTGCAGTTATAATAAATATTTCTTAAAATTGGACAATATTATAGCAGAGTTAACATTTTCTTTTTAATTTTGTGTTTATTATGGTTATATTATTAAATTGTATGGTAGATTTTCTCATATGAGTATTTTGTTGTATTTAGTTGCTTATTAATATATAAATAACAAGTACAAAATTAAGTTAACTTATTCATTCGTAATTAAGTTAGTTTTAATTACATGTGGATACCTCCTGTAGTTTTTGTATTTTTATATAGTACTGGTAGTATCAATTTTTTCTCGGGGCTCTAATTTTGTATACAGTTGAATATAATAAGCAGTCTAGTCAGATTCACAGTTATGTCGCCACTTAATTTGTCTTCTTAATTAATATCTTAGAGTATAAATGTAATAATATAATTGAAAATTATTTGTTATTATCCCTTGATTCCCAATTTGAGTGAGATATATTATATCTACCTTACTTTGATAATTATCTAATATTGCCAAATTATTAACAAGAATTATATTGAATATAGCGTTGGTATAAATTTGTTCTATTATGCTCGAATGGTTTAATGAGATATCTCTGTGTTGTTTTTATATAATAGAAGCAATTATTTAAAAAACGTCGAATGTACCTTAGAGTTTTGGAGGGTATGGAATAATGATAATAATTTGGACATAGCTTGAATTTTGATATTGAGAGGCCTGTAGTCCAAAATTTAAATTTATCATAGCGCCCATATCATTACCGTCATTTAAATTTTACATTTTATTCTGTGCTATAATTAAAATTTCAAGATTCCTATGATTAGTATGTACTTTAATAAAATCATTCAATGTAAGTTATTAGTAAACAGCTTATAGTTTATTCCATGGAATGATCTTATAGCAGTAGAAATTTTATTTAAATATACTGCAAAACACATGTTGAATATATATTTGGATCACTTTAAAATGGGTATTTATATAAACTTAAAATCAATTTAATTGCCATTAGTTTTACAATCCTACATCAATATAATTAATGTAAAACTGGATTAAGCGAATATGTTATGTTAAGAAACAAAAAAGTGTAATAAATCTGGTTACACAATAAGTTTTAACTAATAGCAGTATTATCTTAATTATTATTCAATTAATAGTTGTGAATTATCTTTTTTTTTTTAACGTCTACTCTTTAAACTAATTTTTTATTTCACTTTAATGATTATTAATAATTTTTTTAATTATTTACTTTGTCCGGACTCTGTGCTTATGTTTCTCTCATCTAATAAAACTTATATTTATATAAGAATCTTTTTTACCGATAAATACTACATAACCATAAAAATTTAAGGTTTTGACTCTCATATTATTGAGCCAGATTTTTTTCAATTGGGAAGCTAAATAGATTAACGAATATAAATTCAAAATTGAATTTTAAAGTTCACTATTATAATATAAGTAAAAAAAAATTAAGTAATAACCACTGAATAAATTACTAGTATAAATAATCTTTTTTTTTTTTTGAGGCTATAACTGAAGAAAATCTAAATATTTATTACTACTAAATAGACTATTCTAAATAGTTTCCTATCAAAAAAAAATGCTAATTTGTTAAAATAAAAAAATAAAGAAGCTGAAATAATTGAATTATTTTAAATTGGTTTAATTCAGTTTTGGAAAAAGAAGAATCCGTTATTCGTATTTTCTCGATTCAGAACCATTGGTGTACTTGAGTATGATTTTGATTTAAGTATGTGTAATTTAATGCATTTTACTTGTTAATGTCTTGGCCTACTTAAAACACATATTAACTAAAAGACTACAGATTCTATGAGAATATTATTTTAATTAATACTTTTATATCATACGTTATTTTTTAAATAAATTTCTACGTGAAAGTAATGATGAGTCTATCATTCTATACGCTTCCATTTATATTATGAATTTATTTTAAATATTTTTTAATATTGTAAATACTATGAAATAGTCATTGCTATTTTTTTTTGAATTATCTTTGTCGTAAAAAGCGTAACGCCAACAAAGATAATTATTATATATTTCGAAAAGATTTCTTTTATTGTTATTTTTTATGAAGCATTAGGCTTGGCGTTTAGAGGTCAACATGTATCATGAAACAGGGCACACCCGGAACAAAACGTTTTGGCCTTGACTCTATTTTCTAAGCAGGGCATTAGTGGTGGTGTGTTTATCGCGTGTGACGTATATATCTATTTAGAGAAAGACTTATACAAAAATTGTAGTATAGTTAATTGGCGAAAGATATAGAGGTAGAAAAAGAGCTGTTTATGATGAAAAACAGTCATTTATTTTTCTTAGTTGATTACATAATATACGTACTGACATTCAAAAGCAAACTGTTTTTCATTATTATAATACAGTCGTATAAAACTTTTAAAAATAAACAAGTATAATAAATTTAATATAAAAAAGTTTTGGTTAATTATAATTATTATTTTGGTCTCATTATTTATTATAATATTATAAATAATTAATAAAAAAATCCTCCAAACCCCAAAATATTATGCGGGAGTTGGATTATGGAAGTGATATATTCAATATTAATTATTATTCAAAGAGACATTTATAAAAAATTATAATACTATACGGTTTAGTAAAAATGCTTTAATGTAGGGCATCATCTCCGGTGAATAACACTATCAATAATTAAGGTGAATAATATCAAGTTTTTAATAAAATAATTCTATAACTGATATTGACAACTTGTAATTAGTAGTAATAACAATGAAAATATCTAAACTAAACCTACAGCAGCATCTCAATTTTGCTAGAATAATAATTACTGATCTCATATACATTAATTTATTTTCTTTAAAAATATTTATGAAGGATATTAAAATAATCGAGTTAATGATCTTGCAATAAAAAATATGACATTTTATTAAATTGTTCACTGAAGTTTTAAGATATTAAAAAAAAGGAATAATGATCAGTTTATTTTTTTCCGATATAAATTTTATTCAATTAAATGTAAATAAATTAAAACAATGTGACAATATAAATTAAGTTATTAAAATTTACTTCTTAATAAGCATAAATTTGTAAAAAAAGAAAAAATTAATAAGTCATAATTTTGCATGTATTAGTTATGTTGCAAAACCTTTGCAAAAATATTAAATATATAATTCTAAATAACATTTCTTTAAAATTATCTANCTATATATATATATATATATTTTTTAAATAATTTAACAAATTTTATTAATTTCTAATTATAATTCATTGATCATCATATTTGTAATAAAGATTTTCAAGAAAATCTTTAAAATCTCTGTGGCAATAAAAACTACATATAATTACTACTCGTAAATGAACAAAAGAAATTATTTAATTTTATAACCTTGAAAAATGTTTATTAAACAATAGAGTAAAACAATCATAAACATATTGCAATATGTATTTTTTCATATAATTCTTTGTAAATATTTATGTTTGTCGTATTGAAAATGATTTTTCAATTTTTCAACAGTTGTAGCCTAAAATAATTTTTTTTAGAAGTCAAGGCCAATATTATTTTTATATACAACACTGCTATGAATATTGAATAAATGAAATAAATTTTAATTTTTTAGCTTCGATACGAAGCGGAGAAGGTATTAATTTTACTATGATGTGTTTATTTATTTTCATTTTCTTAAGTATTTAAAATATAATTGTTTATAAATACTTATTTTTTAAA